GCTGTGAGAACTTTGAGCGTCCCCTGAAGAGGACCGGGCCATGGGGCCTTTTAGTGGAGCAGCATAGCTGGCTCTGTCTTCACCTTAGCATTTATACCCAAACCAGGTCTGGGATGTGCTCAAATGATTGGAATTTGGCTTTAGCTCAAGTGCACTGGCTAAGGGCAGCTCTGAACCACACTGACTTTTTTTTGGTGCCAACCTCAGGGCCTAGGTGCTATCTCTGGCTGTTTTGCTCAAGGCTAGTGCTCTACCACTTGAGCCATAGCTCCACTTCGTTTTTTTTGGTGGTTAATTGGAGATGACACTATCACAGATTTTTCTGCCCGGGCTGTCTTTGAACCATGATCTTCACCTCTTGGTCCCCAGAGTAGCTAGGATTACAGGTGTGAGCCACCGTGACCAGTCCATAGTGACAGCTTTTAATAATAAATATAATAATTATCAACACTTAACAGGCTATACAGGTATGATCAAATTTTTCATCTTCAGTTGAACCCTGCTTGAGAAACAAGATGGGTTATCTCCACGTTCCATTTGAAAAGCTAAAGCCCTAGAAGTTTAGTGACCGTCTGGCCCTGGGGTGTGGAGTAACTTCACCCAGTACTCCTAAGTGTTTTTCCTGGCAGCTGTGATCTCCCGGCCTAGAGACCTGCTTTCCCGGTACAAGGCTGGCACTTATCAAAGCTTGGTCATGGTAGAGATGGCTGGCATACTTTGGGGCAGCCAGTCAATTTTAACTGACTTCAGTCAATTCCCTTGGTCCTTTTTGAATAATGAATAGCAATAGCTAAATGTTCACCCTGGTCACTGTGCTGTGTTTTATGTGTTTCCCTCTGTGATGAGTCTGGAGGAACCACTTCATAGAGGCACTGTGCCTCCCCCACACCCCCATTTTTTTAAGTCATGAAACTTGTTGCTAAGTGCACACCTTTAATCCCATGGCTTGAGGCCATCCTAGGAAAACCTAGCAAGACCTTATCTCAAAATATAAAAAGTCAGGGGTGTGGCTCAGTGGGTAACACAGTTGCCTAGTAAGTGTGAGGTCTGAGGTTCAATCCTCAATACTGTAAACAAAAAACACAAAAACAGCCCACTTGCTTATATTAATATCAACATTTTTGCCCAGTAATAGTCAGTTGGGCCATTTCTTCTTGCCAAAGTATAAGAAATGGATTAATGGGCTGGGAAGGTGGCTCAGTGGTAGAGCGCTTGCCTTGCATGCATGAGGCCCTGGGTTCAATTCCTCAGCACCACATAAGCAAAAAGGGAAAAAAAAGCCGGAAGTGGCGCTGGGGCTCACGTGGTAGAGCACTAGCCTTGAGCTGAAGAGCTGAGGGACAGCGCCCAGGCCCAGAGTTCAGGCCCCATGACCGGACCCCCCCCCCCCCAAAAAAAAAAAAAAAAAGAAATAATGCAGCTTTGAGGACTGGTGTTGACTCTTAGGAAGGACAGATTTTAGCATAAAGTTCTTACCAGGTCTCAAGTACACAGGGACTTCCTCAATGATCACCTGCTTCAAGCCCCCATTTGTACAAGCCTCTTGTCCTCCAAACTCAGTCTACAGAGCTTCTGTGCTTTGGACTGCTTTCTCCCTGAGACATGCTTCCCAGATCTTCATGTGTTTGAGGGACATTCAGGTCGCTTGGCTGCTGGTACTTTTCAGGCAAGCTGTATGATGACCTACAGTGGGCTTTCTCAGTGTTTTCATTGTGTCATGAGTCAATTCATTTTACTTGTTCACTATCTCTCTTCTCACCGTTAGAATATAAGAACCTGGATTTCTCACATTCTGAATCTAGGCCTCACACCTAGAACAGCTTCTGGCACCATAGATAAAGATTAAATAACTTGATTAATGCCATAGTTATCCATGGCATAATTAGAATTCAGAACCTACTTTGAACTGCTCTACAGCTAAGACTAGTCCTCTCCACTCAGCCCCCAGAGCAGTGTTCTGCCCCAGATGGATATAGCCCTTGTACCTCATCTCTGGTTTCTGCTCACAGATTACGGTGACAAGCTGAACTTGGAGCTGAGTGAGAAATACAAGCTAGACAAGGAGAGCTACCCAGTTTTCTACCTCTTCCGGGATGGGGACTTTGAAAACCCAGTCCCCTATAGTGGGGCAGTAAAAGTTGGAGCCATCCAGCGCTGGCTAAAAGGGCAAGGGATCTACCTGGGTATGCCTGGTTGCCTACCTGTGTATGATACCCTAGCGGGAGAGTTCATCAGGGCCTCCAGCATGGAGGCTCGCCAGGCCCTCTTGAAACAGGGGCAGGACAACCTCTCAAGTGTGAAGGAGACTGAGAAGAAGTGGGCTGAGCAGTATCTAAAAATCATGGGGAAGGTGTTAGACCAAGGTGAGGACTTCCCAGCTTCTGAGATGACCCGGATCACCAAGCTGATTGAGAAGAACAAGATGAGTGACGGGAAAAAGGAAGAACTCCAGAAGAGCTTGAACATCCTGACTGCCTTCCAGAAGAAGGGGGCTGAGAAGGAGGAGCTGTGAAAGGCTCCAGTTTCCTAGGGTTTGCTGGGGATAGGGAGGGAAGAGTTACCTGTTGGCCTTGAGACCTATGTAGGATGGAGGGGGGGAGGAGTTGGAAAAGGTGTTATTAAACCTGAGCCCTGAGTGTGTCTGGACGTTAACCATGCTTGGGCATCTCTCAAGCCCATCTGGGGAAAGCTGATGGCTCCACTCAGACAGCCAGTAAAAGGACCCCTGGGAAGGAATTGGTGCTATATAAAGAGGGTACTGTCCACATCCACTACGAGAAGTTTCTGATCCAATAAACGTCCCTGTGTTTGGTTAAGAGCTGGAGCCATGTGGGTTTCTTTGAATTATACTTCGGCTTTTTTGGATTTTTAAGCTGGTATCTACTCCCCGTTCCTGGTAATCCTGCTGCAAGGCAGATTCTAGCACAAGGGAAAGCCTCTGTTGATTTCCACTTGTTATTTTCTACTCTTGTAAATTAACTGTGGCTCTTAAATATGTTGCCTATCTTCTTGTCCTTAAAACTCAACACTAAAGAACACAGCAGTTACTTTTCATGAGATAGGTATAGTATTTCTTAGTTTTACTGATAACCTTTTTAGAGTTTTAGACAACTAGATGGTATAATTCAGTCCAACTTTAAAGTTTAAAAAATATTTTCTACTGACCACTGGAAATGCCATCAAACTGCATCAGAGATGATAATGTCTGATTTGTACACCAACAAAGAAATGCGAATTACGGGCTGGGAAGGTGGCTCAGTGGTAGAGCGTTTGCCTTGCATGCCTGAGGCCCTGGGTTCGATTGCTCACATAAGCAAAAAGAAAAAAGCCAGAAGTGGCGATGTGGCTCAAGTGGTAGAGCGCTAGCCTTGAGCTGAAGAGCTGAGGGACAGAGCCCAGGCCCAGAGTTCAGGCCCCACGACTGGACCCCCCCCCCCCCAAAAAAAAAAAAGAAATGTGAATTACAAGGAGTTGGCAAATAAATCCTTAGATTGCTGCTTTTCTGCCAGTTAAGCCAGGTTGACATTTAAGTCACTGGAAACAGAAAGTAGAGGAGCTGCATAGAAAAAATCCTAGTAGCTTAGGCAAACAATTCAAAACTTGATAAGAGACACATTTAAACATAACCAGCACAGATACTGGTTCCACAAAGATACTAATTTTAAATTTAAAAGTTGGCCTGAGCATAAAATTTAAAATTCACAAATAATTTGGTTGCAAATAGAGCATTCAATTCAAAATTGTATTAAGTTTTGTCATTTAGACTAAAACATGAAACGAGAAGAAGCGCCAATTTAAAATCTAAAAGTTTATATAAACCCATCCAATTTGAAGACGTCCTATGTATCACTTAGGAAGACTAGACTTCCTGCCTATATTAATGAATCACATCAAATTAGGAAGTTTCAATAACAAGGCTGAAACCCCTTTTATATTAAAAGTTAAAATGAAAGACAAATCCAGAGTGAACGTAAGTGATTGCAAAATATAATGCAATTTTGAACAAAATTATGAAAATATACAAAATTGATGGGCAACACAACTAGGCATTTGTACATCTTCCATTACGTGGAGAACACTAAAAATGTCTCTTCCTTTTATCCAGAGATATGTGATTTAAACCAAATGTTTCCTATGGAGAGTCTTAACTTAGGATCTCAGTAGTATAAAAAGCAATCATTTTTCAGTCTGTAAACAGTAGTTGTGGTTTCTTTCCTTAGCTTTTTTTTTTTTAAATATGAATTTACCACACAAAAACAAAACAAAAAACCTATACAAACCATAAACAGCAGCAGCAGCACTGGGTTATTTGGGAATTCTCTTCAAATAGCAATGACATACAATTGCTGGGAGATGGTGGTTTTACTCACGTAAGAATATATATATATATGTATATGTATATATATTTAACTGTACACAATTTATAGTGCATGAGTTTTCAGAACAGATAAAAAGGTAGCTATTTCTGCATAATTTCATTCTTTTTTACAATTATCTCAAAATGTTAAGAATCAGATCTTAACTGAAAAGCTACATTTAGTAGGAAAATTAGCAAGTAACAAAGAGAATGTAACTCCAGTCTAATGTTTTGTGTCAGTAACACTGGCAGAGGTCCTAGATGTCCCTGGGCAGGAGAAAGGTTAAAGACCACTAGTCATGCGGTGCCCTTAGGACCACTGCCAGCCCAAGTGCATGCTAGATTGATTTCAGAGCGTTTCTATTTGTATAGGAACATCATTCCCAGAACATGTGCCATATATACAACCCCTCCCTGCATACACACGCAGTCCATCTGAAGTAGGCCATAGATCATGAAATATGTTGTTAAAGGAGTCACAATCAAAATGTTCAATTCATCTTTTTTAAGATCTTCCTTTTAGGATGGATCTATGACATTGTCTACTAATTTATATCAAAAATAGTATTTTATAATTACTCAATGGTATATAGGCTTTCCAACAAGTCCTATTTTTAACAGGCCATAGAGTAATTTCTAAAAGTTCCCATGAAGTTTAAACAGTTTTTAATCACCATATCAAACTGTTAATTTAAGAAAGTCAAGATGAAAGACAAAATGCAGGCTCTGTAAAGATTTTCCCAGCTGGCTTTTAGTTGCTTTAGAAATGACTCCATTTCACTGGAGCAGCATGTAGGAAGGGCTGTTCTTATCTACCAGACCCATCCTCCACCAGATGCGTACGGTTCCTCATCAAATTCATTTCTTCACTCGTATTACAGAATTACCAACTCAATATTCAGGTAACAAAGACCAAAAACAAGCAGGGATTCAAACACCAAAAAAAAGTTGTCAAACTGAAAATTGTGTAACATTTTCAAGAGCAATTTTTATCTTTTTCTACCAGGCAAACCTCTGGAGCCACAGTCTTGGGACTAGACTTGCAGGTAAAGTAAATAGCATCCCGGTGTGAGTCTCAAAGCCTCAAGAAAGTGAATCGAACATCAAATCCATTAGATAATCATTTCTTTTGTCAGCCTAAAACTTAAAACCCAGATTAAATCCATAATATACAATTCCTTCCTTCCCAAATCCCAGACTTAAAAACACTAAAAAAGTATATCTTATTTTCAAGCATATATACACACATATAAGAACCACCTGCAACAGATGACTCACAAAACCAATGGAATTAAGTATCTGACTCACCACGTAAGTTATATACACCTTCTCATTAGCCTAGTGATTCTCATCTTCGCTAAATGGATGACTCCAGGAGGCTTATGAAGTGACCTGTACTGCTTTCTCAAAACAGCTGGAAATTAACAGCTTTTCCTGTCTCCCTGAGACTTAACTCTCAAAGAAGCTAGGATAGGGGATGTCTTGGCTATCAAGACTATTAGACTGAAGACGAGCACCTGTGGTCATCTTGACGGGTGCTTTCAATGGCAGGCTCTAATTGCAAGCCTCCTGTGAGGCCCTCAGTGGACCTGCCATGGCTTCCGTGGGAGTTGGGAGTTGAGAAGCCTCGGAATGAGACTGCAGCTGTGGGAGGGCTCCATCCCAATCTTGCCTCCTCTACTGCCTTCTGCCTCACAGCTCAAGGAACAGAGCAAAACTCCTGCTGTCAGTATGGAAGGGCAACTCAGCTGCTTCAAAGTGGATGCTCTACACCTCAGTTCCATTGCTGCTTTTGTAGAACACCACCTCCCCCGAGATGTGTCTGGTGATAGGAGGGAAGGAGAGTGGGGGGGGAGGGTCTCTTGTTGCTGCCACATACATATGAACATGTATAAAAAGTTGTTGAACCCACTTCAGGGCTCCTGCTTCTGCTTTATATACAATAATTTAATCAGTTGTACATATTTAATACCTCAAAAAATTAATTCACGATCAAAGTCCATGCATTTTATGAGGAAGTTCTGGATTAAAACGATGGTCAACTAGTGTGGCTTTTGCTGGGAAGATGGTTTCATCGTTTTCAGCTGTCGTCATCAAGGCCTGTGGATTGTACCTTCTTAAATCTTTAGCTTCTTTGTGGTCTCAAGTCTTTTTTTCAGCAGCTCCCCTGTCTCCAGGAGTGAGTGCAGGTAACTGCTTCTCACCTTCCCTTGAACAGTCTTTGAAACCTTCCTTTCTTCCTACAAAGACAGTCAAAAAATAAGCAGTCTCGCTCAAAATTCATTCTCACAAGTTAGAATTCCTCAGATAACAACTCACTGCAAGTGCCATTCGAACAGGAATTTTCTGTCAAAGGGTAAAACAAAAACAAGCTCAAGCCGGATGCAAGTGGCTCATGCCTATAATCCTGGCTACTAGGAGGCTGAGATCTGAAGATCATGGTTCAAAGCCGGCTGGGGCAGGAAAGTCATCTCCCCACCACAGAAAAGCAGAAGTGATGCTGTGGCTTAAGTGGTAGAGCACTTGAGTAAAGAGAGGCTCAGGACAGAGTCCAAGCCAGGCAGGAAAGTCCATGATTCTCTTATCTCCAATCAGAAGAAAACCCAAAGTGTCATGTGGCTAAAAAGTGGTAGAGTGTTAGCCTTGAGAAAAGGGCTCAGGGACAGTGCCCAGGCCCTGAGTCCACAGCCTACTACCCACCAAAAAAAAAGGGAACTACTTCCCTACACCAACCTCCCCCCAAAAAAACTACTGCCAAATTACCTTCTACTCTCCAGTCTTCAAAGGAGAGAATACCTTTTCCTTGTGATAAAAGGCAACATTTATATACACTGAAAAATATTGCTGGTTTTCTATATCTCTTACCAGAGAGAATGAAGTATCTTCTAAAATAAGTTCTTCAAGCTTAAGTGCAATTAGATGTGCTTCAAGCCCTTTAACATGATCCACAACATTGGAGATTAAAGTCTGAAGTCCAGTAACATAGTCTTGGAAACAGGTGAAGACAGGCGGCTGGGATTAAAAAGATTAAAGGGGAGCTAAAAGATTATCAAACATTTCCAGAGTTTACATTACACAATGTGTACTAACTTCATTATACCAGTATTCAATGCTATTAACAACAGAAATAGGGCTGGGAATGTGGCTTAGTGGCAGACTGCTTGCCTAGCATGCATGAAGCCCTGGGTTCCAATCCTCAGTACCACATAAACAGAAAAAGACGGAAGTGGCGCTGTGGCTCAAGTGGTAGAATGCTAGCCTTGAGCACAGAGGGGCTCAGGGACAGTGTCCAGGCTCTGAATTCAAGCCCTAGGATTGGCAAAAACAAAAACCCAACACCAGAAATAGACACAGTTTGGGACAGCAACACAGCACAGCCAGGCACAGTGATGCACGTGAGAGGTATAATATGCAACTGTCGGCCCAGCAGTGTAGGAAACAAATAGGATGGAGGCCAGCCCTGGCAAAGACACTTCTTGAAAAATAATGAAAATAAGCCGGGTGCTGGTGGCTCATGCCTGTAATCCTAGCTACTCAGGAGGCTGAGATCTGAGGATCACGGTTCAAAGCCAGCCCGGGCAAGAGAGACCATGAGACTCCTATCTCCAGAAAACTGGAAGTGGCGCTGTAGCTCAAGTGGTAGAGCATTCGCCTTGAGCTGAAGAGCTGAGGGACAGCACCCAGCCCCAGAGTTCAAGGCCCCATGACCGACAAAAAAGAAAAGAAAAGAAAAAGAATGAAAATAAAAAATCTGGGGCATGGCTCAAGTGATAGAATCCTTGCCTGGCACACAAAGGCCGAGTTCAAACCCCAGACGCGCACACACACATGAGCACTCTAGCTTTCTCTCTCTCTCTCTCTCTCTCTCTCTCTCTTGGAGAAAGAATGCCTATAAGATCCTTAAGACTTGTACAACATGGAGGGAGAGAGAGAAAAGGCAGGCAGCCTGCAACAAGATTGTGACTTATAATTTTCTGATACTACCATGATGATGCTAGTTTCTTTTTTCTTCTTTTTCTTTTTTTGTAAATTTAGTTTGAACGGTCGCAAGATGCTCTCACAGTAACTGGATACCCAAAGGATAATAGAAATAGTCTGAAAGAGGAAAATTTGCAAATTCATCAATTAAAGATTATACTCAAGATTATCCATCAGGCAGTTAAAGGCAAAGGATTAAACAAATTCTAACTGGTACTTATTTACGTATCTTTTCCACTTCCGTTCTCAATTTCCACTCTCTCTTCTATAATCACATGTTGATGTAGGTGTTAAGGGTTGCATGTGAGGTCTTCCCTAAAATAGCTCATGGGTTAAAGGCTTAAAAAAATCTAGCTGGCAGTGCTGTGAAGTGGTTGCTTTCACTAGTGGATTCACACACCACAGATGGATTTGTAACGACAGCCTTATTGAAAAGAGATGGAAACTAAGAGGTGGGGCCCCACTGGAGGAAAACAGGTCTGTGAAGGTCTGTATACTTGTCCCACCTCTTCCTGTCTCCCTCTCTTTCTCACTGATTCTTGGCTGCTGAATGGGAAGAGCACCCTACTCTACTGTCCCTACCCTTTCTGCCTCTCTGCTTCCTCAGCTAGACTTAAGAGTAATTCTGGAGAATCTGAGATGAACAAAGCAACTTTAAAGTTCTACCTACTAACCTGAATGAAATACTAAGATTTGTAAAAGGAATTGATTTAGAAATTTATTTAAACTGGGCTGGGAAGGTGGCTCAGTGGTAGAGTGCTTGCCTAGGAGGCCCTGGGTTCGATTCCTCAGCACCACATAAGCAAAAAGAAAAAAGCCGGAAGTGGCGCTGTGGCTCAAGTGGTAGAGCGCTACCCTTGAGCTGAAGAGCTGAGGGACAGTACCCAGGCCCAGAGTTCAGGCCCCACAACTGGACCCCCCCCCAAAAAAAAAAATTATTTAAACTGCTTTTTAATGAATCAGAGCTGGGTTAGGTAAATGAAACTGCAGGTATAAAGCAGCTATTACCTGCTTATTGTTGAAAAATGAATCCTGAACAACATGAAAAGAACAAAAACATACCTCCACAAAGAAGACAAGATTTTCTAAAAGAGTAGGATGTGTTTTCAAGTTGCCATCCTTAACTTCTAAGAGGTTGCCTTTACATTTACTGAAGATATCTGAAAATAGAAAAATACATTTATTCATCTTGGCATTCAATACTACTTTTAAGAATACAATATATAAACTGAATTATAAAAGCTTTTTAGGGGCTGGGAAGGTGGCTCAGTGGTAGAGCACTTGCCTTGCAAGCATGAGGTCCTGGGTTCGATTCCTCAGCACCACATAAGCAAAAAGAAAAAAGCCGGAAGTGGCGCTGTGGCTCAAGTGGTAGAACGCTAGCCTTGAGCTGAAGAGCTGAGGGACAGCGTCCAGGCCCCCAAGTTCAGGCCCCATGACCGGACTCCTCCCACCCCTCCCAAAAAATAAATAAAATAAAATTAACTCTCCACAAAGCAGCTGTTTCTAATTAAAAAAAAAAAAAAGCTTTTTATTTGTTTTAATCTCACTTTTCAACTTAAATCAAACATCAGAGTGTAGCTTTCAATAAAAAAACATGTTGGGCGCAGCGCTGGTGGCTCACACCTTTAATCCTAGCTACTCAGGAGGCTGAGATCTGAGGATCGTAGTTGGAAGCTAGTCTGGATAAAAAAGTCCCCAGGAGACTCCTATTTCCAATTAACTATTCAAAAAACTAGAAATGGTGCTATGGCTCAAAGTGGTAGAGTGCTAGCCTTGAGTTTAAAAAAGCTCAGGGTCAGTTCCCAGGCCCTGAGTTCAAGTCCCATAACAGACAAAAAAAAAAAGAAACCAAAAAAACCACATTCATTACAGGTCTATAGTCTTCACATATAAATAACTGCCTTAAAATTTATATATACTAGGGCTAGACATTAGCTAAGACATTTCAGGTATGTCATGGACACATTAACTTTAAGACTGAGTGAATGACATGTAAGAACTTGTGTCACTAAGGACTGAATAACCAAGAGTACACTGTGCAAACACCTCTTTACAGCACACCATGTCTGATGCTGTACTCTTGACTATCTTTTAATTTTTCAGACATGCTTCATCTCAGCAATAAAGTAAAAGATGATTTGAGAAGAAAAACCCTTACAGATCTAGAATTCTAAACAATTTCATTCCTAGAAATTAAATTCCAAAGCAATAATCAAGTATCCAAATATCCCAATACATGAATTTCAGTGATGATTATAAATGTAAGAAATAATCCTAACTACTCACGAGGGTACCACTGAGAACAAATCCAAAGGTTCTAATTTTTAATTAATTAGCAAAATACCAGACTGGATGGAAGAAAGGCTCAAGTGTTAAGAGCACCAGCCATAGGCAAAAAAGCAAGAGAGCACAAGGCTGAGTTTAAGCCCAGTAACGGCCCAAGAACAACAACAACAAACCTATTGCTAATATCCATAGACAATTCAGGAATACACGGGGTTACTTACCTTTTAACTGTTCTAGTAAATACTTAAGACTATTCTCTACTCGCTCCTGTATCTCCACTGTATCCTCTAGAATTGGGGGGAAAAAAATAGCCCTTTTTCAGATTTTCAAATAACATAAAGCAGGAAGATCAACATCTGGGAACAAATCGTGAGCAAGGACCTTCTTTATCACTAAGAACAAGACATCTAAATTCCATTATTCATGGTGGGGATGGGGAGAGCAGAAAGTGACAGAGGGAAAGGAAAAAAAGAAAGGTACCAGTGGCTCATGCCTGTGAATTTTAGCTACTCAGGAAGCTGTGATCTGAGAATCACAATTCAAAGCCAGCCCTCACAAGAAAGTCTGAAAGACTGTTATCTCCCAATTAACCAGCAGAAAACTGCAGGTGGTGCTGTGGCTCAAAGTGGTAGAGCACTAGCCTTGAGCAAGAAAGTTCAGGGACAGTGCCCAGGCCACGAGTTCAAGTCCCACAACCAACCAGCCAGCACACTCCATTGAGCTGAAAACTCAGAAACAAAATTGCTTTTTGATAGTTTAGTATTTCATTTTAAAAATACAATCAAGCTGGGAACCAGTGGCTCATGCCTGTAATCCTTGTTGCTCAGGAGGCTGAGATCTGAGGATCACAGTTCAAAGCCAGACAGGGCAGGCACGTCCATGAGACTCTTATCTCCAATTAATCACCAGAAAACCAGAAGTGGCACTGTGGCTCAAGTGCTAGAGTACTTGCCTTGAACTGAAAAGCTCAGGGACAGCACCCAGGCTCAGAGTTCAAAAATCCCACGTCCGACCAAAAAATACAATTCAATGTGAAAGTTCAAGAGTATCTAGAGGGAGCCGGGCGCTGGTGGCTCACGCCTGTAATCCTAGCTACTCTGGAGGCTGAGATCTGAGGATCGCGGTTCAAAGCCAGCCTGGGCAAGAGAGACCGTGATCTCCAATAAACCACCAGAAAACCGGAAGTGGCGCTGTAGCTCAAGTGGTAGAGTGCTCGCCTTGAGCTGAAGAGCTGAGGGACATCACCCAGGCCCAGAGTTCAAGCCCCACGACCGACAAAAAAAAAAAAAAAGAATATCTAGAGGGTCTGGGAAGGTGGCTCAGTGGTAGAGTGCTTGCCTTGCATGCATGAGGCCCTGGGTTCGATTCCTCAGCACCACATAAGCAAAAAGAAAAAAGCCAGAAGTGGCGCTGTGGCTCCAGTGGTAGAGCGCTAGCCTTGAGCTGAAGAGCTGAGGGACAGCGCCCAGCCCAGAGTTCAGGCCCCACAACCGGACCCCCCCCCCCCAAAAAAAAAAAAGAATATCTAGAAGTACCTAGAAGCTCTTCCCCTTTTAGATCTAACACAACTTTAACACAGAGATGACCTCTCACGTAGTGCTCTGAAACCTGTCAGATATTTCCAGAACAATTTCCACCTTGCATCTATCTATTGCACCTGTTTCTAAATGTGAAAACTTAAATTTTATTCATTACTAGGTTTTCACTGGCAAAAAAACAAGAAAGTATATTTGTGTATACTTACCTAAACCATTGGTATCCAGCTCATAAATATCATTAATGAGATAAAAGGAACTTATCTGGCATTGGGAACAGCCAGAATTAAAGAATCCACTCATTCTGGTGGGTACAGGACCAAGGAAAGGATACTGAAATGAGAAACAATGCTGTCCTTTAATCCATGCAAATTAAGAAGACACTATAAACTATTAGGTAAAACACAATCTGCCCGGGCCCTTGTGGCTCACACCTGTAATCCTAGCTACTCAGGAGGCTGAGATCTGAGAAGCCAGGTTCAAAGCCAGCCCAGACTGAGACTCATCTCCAATAAATCACCAGAAAACCAGAAGTGGCGCTGTGGCTCAAGTGGTGAGGGCTTGAGGGACAATGCCCAGGCGCAGAGCTCAAGCCCCACAACCAACCAAAAAAAAAAACAACTCAAAGTCCTATCTTTTAAAAGACAGTCTGAGTGTAACTACTGTAAATGGCAAATATATATTAATACCTGAATTTCCTTCTCAATGAATCGCTTTCCCATTTCCACAGCTACCTCCAGCTGTTGAAGGAGCAAGCGGAGAATATCAATCCGGGAGGACACACCATTCTCAGCACTTTTCTCAGAGTTCTTTGGCTCCATGGGGTGGTTGAGGCTGGGAAGTCCACTAATAAGCCTTAATGTGAGGGAGCGGATCCTTAACCACAGGGTCTCTTCTTCCAAGGAAAGTCTCTTATGTTCTTCAGAAACATCCCTTAAACAGAAACATCCCAGACCATCTGTTTTATTCTAACCTGTTGCCTTCAAACCTTTCAATATCACTTTCACCAAGATGCCTCTGAATGGTCTCTCAACTTTCATTTACTGTCTGACTGATTTTAGACAAGCAGAGAAACTACTGATTCCCATTAATTTCACTGTCAATAAAATGGGCATGATAACCTACCTAATGAGTCATTCATTCTTTCTCTTAAGATTTTTTTCTCTGGTGTTTAAAGTACTACATGATAGAGGCTCAAGGCTAGAGCCCAGGCCCTGAGTTCAAGCCCCAGGACTTGCCCCCCCCACCAAAAAAAAAAAAAAAAAAAATCCAGGCACCAGTGGTTCACGCCTGTAATCTTAGCTACTCAGGAGGTTGAGGGGCTCAAAGCCAGCCCGGAAGAAAAGGCCGTGAAACTCTTATCTCCAATAAAAACCACCAGAAAACCGGAAGAGGAACTGTGGCTCAAGTGGAGAGTACTAGCCTTGAGCTGAAGAGCTGAGGGACAGCACTCAGGCCTAGAGTTCAAGCCCCATGACCGACCAAAAAAAAAAAAAAAGTTCTTACCAGTAAAGCTACAGTTTTGAGCAAAAAAGCTAAAGGAGAGCACCCAGACCCTGAGTTCAATCTTGGTACTGGCACCCCCCACCCAAAAAAAAATAAACAGTAAGATAGCTACCAAATTCCAAGAACAATAGCCATTGCTTAAAAATTGGCGTTGAGCCTATTAATCCATCTGGAATTTATTCTGATCTGAGCTGTGAAATACATCTAACCTTTAGATTAGCCACAGTCCTAATATAGGGTGAGCGATACCTTCTTTACCTGGCTTTACTTACATTTTCTGATCCCAACAACATACCACATTTACATCAAAAGGAGACTTTTATTCACTTTTTCATGTAAATCTTAGATCCATCCTGATTCTTTCAAAACTAATTCTTGAGGTTGAGTTCCAGTTACCTGTCTTTTGGATCCCAGCTGAAAAAAACATTTAGGTCTCTGTTGTCCCGCAAATCTTCCCATGGAATGTCATCTTCTTCTGGCCTAAGATTCATTGATTTTATACTTTCTGCTAAGCTGCTCGATCTGTAATAAAGATAATTATGTTTTATTTCCATAACAAAGCAGTCATGAAAAATTAGGACTTTTTTCATTACAAAGAAAAAAGGGGGAAGAGGAAAAGAAGCTAAGGAGTAAGGCTCACATAAAATAAAATACAACACAGCAAGAGAAATACTCCTTAAGTCCAACCAAGACAAAGACCAGCACTAACTTCTGAGAGCCCTGCTTGTAGAAGAGGGGAACCTGGTGAGTATATATGGACCAGGACATGAGGACCACAGAAAGTCAGCTCTGTGCGAGATGTAACTGCTCCCCAATTCTTCACAACAGGCTCAAGAGTCTGTGGTTCCATTTCCACACTCTTACTCCCACCCCATTTTTCCTCAATTTAAATGGCAATGATACCTATGGTGGCTTGGAGCATCAGATCTAACCCCTTAGCTTCTGTGACTGTAAGTTCCTTATGAAATACTTACATATTTGCTTCAAGTAGAAGGTCTAACAGCATCCGTTCAGTACGGACTTGTGCAAAATGAAGAGAATTATTCAGCCTGTTCCTAAAAGCGATAAACTCTGGGATCTTCTCAAATGCACCATATTTGTAAGCTTGAATGATATATTCTGAGGTCTAAGAAGGAAAGATATCACCTTTGTGTAAATATTTCACAAGTCAGACAATGTAAGCAAAGCTTCTATTTTTGGTAAGCAAAAACACAATACTTGTGGCTAAAAGTAAGGCTTTGAATCTGATCTTTAAAGGTCTTGGTCACCGAGCTTTAAAAAATAGTATTTTTCTTCCTTTAGTAGCTGAGTCAACTGTCCCTTTCCTTAGTGTTCCCAACCACAGTGGCCCAATGGTAGTAGGTATGGCTAGCACCTCACAGATTCTAGGCAATCCTGCCTCTCAGTGCAGCAGGACTGATGGTGTCAGTCAAAAGGCCCATTGTGCCATTCTGGAAGGGATTTACTCCATGTCTGTCTGCATCACAATAATCTACATTTTTATACAAAGATTCCAAGGATGCCAGAATAATATAGCCACACCCCACCCAGATCTCTGTTTCTTTCTTTCTGAACACAGCACCAGACACACAGGGCAGATTTGCAGGATAGAAGACAGTAAACAAAGACTCATAAAAACTCATGTCAGAATCCGTTCTGACAAAGACTTCCTTCCACAACCAACTTTCTATGCATCCAGACTACCCAAGATCTCTGCTTGAGATTTCCAAGTAAAAGGAACACTCGCCACATGCATTTTAATCGAGATTAAAAATGGATACATATGAAATGGTACAGAACAGAGGCAAGATAAATTGTCAATGGGAATTTCCATGGGAATCCTGGCAACATCAAAGGCACGCTCAGGGAAGAACATTTCACGGAAATGGGCCTATGCCATCAGGATCAGAAGACAGTGGTCACCTTTTTGGCCAAGAAAAAGATTTAGCTCAAAACTTTCCCCAACAAAGATCCTTTTTAGAAAAGCTGGCCTTTTGCATAGCCTCAGCTTGCAGGCTCGACCCCCAGCTCTATTGTGTCTGAGTAATTTGCCAAGTAGGAAAATAGGCCAATAGTCAACAACATACCCTCTGATACACAGCCTCGCAGGGTTCATTTCAGGCCGCGGGATTGCGCCGCGGGCGCTGCTAATTCAACTGCATTCGATGCGGCTTTTAAACCCCCATGGGACACCTCGGCGAGCTGTTTGCCTGCAGTATCTGGAGAAATTAAAGACGGACGGACACAAGAAAATTAAAAAGATTACTTGTGATCCTGTATGTTTAAAGAAGGACTATCTGAAAAAAGCTCAACTGCACCTTCTAGCTTGATGGAGGACAGTGAAATGCCCCATCAAGTGGAGGCCAGTATGTTAGTCAAGCCTACAGCCCCTGGGCTTAGAAAACAGCGCAAGCTTTATTACCAGCTCTTGCAATAGGGAGTTACAACTGGAAAAAACTGGGAATATTTGATTGAGTAATCAAGATAAGATATATGATTTTTGCAATTCCAAGCACATTTATAAACTCCAGCTCCAAAATATGCTATGGTTAAAGGAGAAAACCCATCCTTCGCCAAGCATAGGGGCAGTTTTACTTCTGAGTGGTCCATGAAATACCACTTTAGGAAAAAACATATTCGTTTCAAAAAAAGACCAGGCGGTGTAACTCCCCGCTTGTGTCATTTAGATAGTCCTCCTTAAACACAGCAGCAAAGTACCGCTGCAGAGCCAGACAAGGAATTGGGGAAGTGCCGCTATGGGAGAGGACGGCCCCCATGGGAACTGCAGGCAAACCCAGAAGCCACAGGCACTGTAAAGACTTTTGAGTGGAGTATGGTGTCCGTAACATACAACTTATTTACCAGTGAGGCTACTTAGATCCCGGAGAAAGTCCTGAAATGAACCCTGGTTACTCTAAAAAATAGCAAAGTGCATGAACATCAGACCCTAAACAATAACCTTTATGAATACAAGTACAATGTAAGTACAAACATTTCAGTCATTTTTTGGATAGGAAAATCTACCACTGAACAAGGAGGCATCAGAGGCTTACACCTGTAATCCTAGCTACTCAAAAGGCTGAGGTCGGAGGGTTGGCTCAAGCAGACACAGCCTCTACTCTTATGCCTCATTAATCAGCTGGAAATGGAAGCATGACCCAAGTGGTAGAGTATCAACCATAAGCAAAAAAGGTCAAAAAACCTAGCAAGAGCTCAAGGCCCTGAGTTCAATCCCCAAAACTAGCATGCACACACCACGCAAGTAAATCAAATGTATTTTTAACCTCCTCATAAACGCAGAAGGAAAGCCAAAATCATGAGATTTGATGAAACTACTTCTTTTGATTTTCAACAAATGAAATTCCTTGAAAACCTAAGAAGGCAAGCACAGACACTGGACAGGAGTGAAAACTCAAGCCTCAGCCACCCACCTACATGAAGAGATTTACAGACCCAATGTTGTAAGGGACACCAACCTGCCTCAAGGTCAAGCCTTGGTGCTCAGGAGCTGATATGCACTTCCTATTCTCCCTAGTCAGAAGCTATGTCTGATCAGCTATCAGTCACCGAGTAACAGGGAGCAGGGTCTGAGAGGCCCTGTCTTCTACATGCCTCAAGCTCTCCTTTGCCGCTCCACTCATGGAGGCCAGGCCCTAAAGTCTGTTAGAACATAACCACCAGAAACTGGGAACAAGGAATCTGTATTTAGCAATGCTTCTGCACTGCCTTCCATGTAATACACTCCACTGAAGAACCCGATGGCAAGTAAAACAGCCATGGCTTTTATAGTTAAAAAGCGGTTTTAAAAATTCAAGAATGCTTCCAAGAAGATCTCCAGAAGGTAAATTCCTCAGCTGCAGAGAGAACATAAGAATGGAAAGCTATGGGCAAATATCCAGCACCCCCAAGTTCCAGGCAGGAGATGTGAAAACCAAGCTGGCAGTGACCTCACCAAAGACATGCCTACTCTCTACCCTACTTCTTGTGTAGCTAGGCCAAGGGTAGCTGACTGACAGCATTATTATTTTTCCCCCAAAGCCTCCACTTAACCCAACTTGGCGCCCAAGTTGGCTTTCAGTAAACCTACAGTGCAAGTGCCATCCTGGAATTATGGCACAAAGAAGCTCTCAGTTACAACTACATACAAAATACAATTGACCAAAGTTTCCTTAAAAGTCCTTCAACTGATCAGCTTCATAATCCTACATACATTACCTCTAATTCTAACTGCACCACACCATTGGCACAGAGCACAGTGAACTTCACAAATTAAGGTAACAGGAACCAGGCGCTAGCAGACAATTCCATGGCATCCCAGGCTCCAAGCTTCCGGGCTACACTATAGCCTTAGAGAAAGGCTCTCAAAGATACATCTGAGAGGCGAAACACTTCTTAGTCTGTTACATATCCGTTTTCAGTGTGACTTTCCAGGACTCCATTGAACATATCCACATTTCAACATACATAATTAAGTCTACCTCTTCCCGAAGGACCTAGCCTAAGGACACCTGACGGTACTACAGCAGGGAGCCATAGCACGTGTCCTCGAGACACAAGGTAGTGAGCTTTGAACCATGTCAGTCAGTAGAAGAAATGGCTTTTCACTTACATCTTTCTGGTTGGAGTGGAAAAACCTGAGTGCGAAGTTACAGGACTGGGAGGCAGCAGCGTACTGACCTAGGGATGCGGCGTACCGGGTCAACAGATAACTGGATTGAGAGAAAAGAAAAAAAATACACATTTTCTAACTCTGGTGGCAAATACATGCTTCAAATTACTATGGCAAGGCATACTATGCAAGGTTACCAACCAAAATAAACTAATACACAGAAATAAATTAAAAAATAAAAATCAAAGTTCATTTGGTTTTATAGGAAACCTAAAGTTCTATGCCATACTTTCTTTTCCTCAGTGATGAATAGAACACAAAACTTGTAAGAAAACATAATGCTGTCTTTTCCCCACTTCCGCCCCCATCAGCTGTGGGGCTTGAATCAGGGACTAGGGGCTGTCCCTGAGCTATTTTTTGGTCAAAGCTAGTGCTCTACCACTTTTGAGCCACACACCCACTTATGCTTTCTGAGTGGTGATAAAGAGTCTCCTGAAAACTTTTCTGCTCCGGCTGGCTCCGAACTGTGATTCTCAGATCTCAGCCCACTGAGCAGCTAGGATTATAGGCATTAGACACTGGTGCCTGGCTAATGCTGACTTCTTAAACATCACTGTAAGGGACATTAAATGATCTCAAGTAATAATAGCCCAAACCCAAATCTGAAAGGATGTCTCAATAAGAAGTATATGTGTATTATGTGTGACATAAATACAAATATGTATGCATATAGTATACACACAAAATATGTATGTATGTATACATATAAAAGGATATCTCAGGATAATAAAGTACATATCTCTATCTCAATTGAGAAAGAAGACTTCAAAATAATGTGCTGCTGGATAGAGTGGCTCAAGTATGTAGTCCTGGCTACTCGAGGCTAAGGTCAACAGGATCAAGGTTAAAGGCCAACCAAGGCAAAAAGTTCACAAGACTTCATCTCAACCAACAAAAGCTAGATATTGTGGTGCATGTCTGTCATTCCAGCTATCCTAGCTATTTATGAAGCATACATACGAAGAATCATGATCCAGGAAAATCCAAGCAAAAAAATCACTACTCAAATAAGGCTGGCAACATCGCTCAAATAAAAGACTGCCTGCCTAACAAGTACAAGGCCCTAGTTTAAACCTTAGTACCATCAAAACAATAAGATATGAAGCCAAGTACTGGTGGCTCACATTTGTGAATCCTAGCTACTCAGGAGGCTGAGATCTGCAGATCAAGGCAGACAAAGCTGAGAGACTCTTACCTTCCAATCAACCAGCAAAAAGTCTGAACTAGGGGCTGGGAAGGTGGCTCAGTGGTAGAGCGCTTGCCTTGCATGCATGAGACCCTGGATTCCATTCCTCAGCACCACATAAGCAAAAAAGAAAAAAGCCGGAAGTGTTGCTGTGGCTCAAGTAGGTAGAGCGCTAGCCTTGAGCTCAAGAGCTGAGGGACAATGCCCAGGCCCAGAGTTCAGGCCCCACGACCAGACAAAAAAAAAAGTCTGAACTAGAAGTAGGTTGAGGAAGAGTCAAACCGTGAGGGAAAAAGCCAAGCAAGAGCAAAAGCCCCAGTACTGGCACACAAAAAAAGAAGGTTAAAATACATATAGTTTGAGTCAGGCACAGGTGGCTCACACCTATAATCCTAGCTACTCAGGAGACTGAGGTCTGAGGTTCACATTAGAAGTCTGCCCAGGCAGGAAAATCCATGAGTCTCTTATCTCCAATTAATCACAGAAAAAGCCAGAAGTGCTGCTGTGGTTCAAGTGGTAGCATACTAACCCTGAATAAAAAGCTCTTAGGGACAGCACCAAGGCTCAGAGTTCAAGACAACCACCCCTCCGGAATACATACAGCTTGTCAGCACACATAGCATTAAAAGGCCCTGGGTTTAATCATTAGCATCAAAAAGAAACTGTATGTAGCTGGATGCTGTCCTTGGGGAAAAAAACCTGACCATTTAATAAATGCAAAATTTTAAATTATCATAAAATCCTGGGTGATAGATGATCTGCAACAAGTCATAGTAGGTGCTAAATTAACATCATGAGCAGTTTTACTGCTCAAATCTAGTCAGAATCCTACATTGCCTTGCTGAGGTGGCTGCCTGCCCATTACTCAGAGTATATACTACCAACCCAATGGTATCATGCTGGATATGTTTAGCATCGAGGCTGGAGTAAAGATCCACCACCGGTTCAAATGCACCCAGCATACAGTAGATTCGAACAAGCAGCAATTTGAACTGAGCGTTGGAAGGGCTGTGGGCTAACCCTTCTTCCAGCAATGTCAGGGCCTGCCACACCGCAGTCTCATCACCTAAAACCAGAGTAGATCATTATCCCCTGATCTTGACAGCAGAGTTTCTCAAAACAAATAAAGAAAAACCCTTTGATACCATCACCTCCCTTAAGTACTCCACAAATAATTTTAGGTAGCAAGTAATCAATTTTAGTTATAAACTTGTGAACTGAAATAGGAAATTTCCTTAATAGCCCTCAATTGTTAAAAGCTAATTCTTAAATATGCCCTCTACAAAAAACTCAAGAGTTGCTGGGCACCGGTGGGCTCAAGACTACAATCCTAGCTACTTAAGAGGCTGAGAGGGCTGGGAAGGTGGCTCAGTGGTAGAGTGCATGCCTTGCATGCCAGAGGCCCTGGGTTCAATTCCTCAGCACCACATAAGCAAAAAGAAAAAAGCCGGATGTGGCGCTGTGGCTCAAGTGGTAGAGCGCTAGCCTTGAGCTGAAGAGCTGAGGGACAGTGCCCAGGCCCAGAGTTCAGGCCCCATGACTGGACCCCCCAAAAAAAAGAGGCTGAGATCTGAGTAATGTGGTTTGAAGCCAGCCCAGGTAGGAAAGTCTGTGAAATTTTTAATCACCAATTAACCACCAAAAAGCCAGAAGTGGAGCTGTGGCTCAAGTGGTAGAGTGGTAGCCTTAAGTGAAAAAGTTCAGGCCCTGAGTTCAAGCCCAGGACTGGCACAAAAAATAATAAACAAATCAGAACTTACTCCAAAAAATGTACATCTGTGTATATAAAACTGTCTTAAGTAAACAGGCCCATTCTGTTTCATCTACTTATCAATTGCCATTATCATAGCTTTGTATTATTCAAGCACACCTGGAAACAAACTAGAGATGTATGAATTTAAAACCATCCTGATTACAGGTAGCAGGAAAAATTTAAGTCTTGATTCCTCTATTAGAGCCACTGAAGAGTACAAGAAAGACCTAAAAGCATGAAGCAATTCTTGAGTTACATCCTAAGGAGAGAATCCAGTACTTACAGTCATTAAAAACAAGGAATCAGAACTGAGTTCTGGTGGCTCACACCTGTAATCCAGGCTGATCTAAAAATGGAGGTTCAAAGCCAGCTGAGGCAGGAAAGTCCACGAGACTCTTAACTACCAAGAAGCCAGAAATGGAGCTGTGGCTCAAAATGGTAGAGCACTAACTAGCCTTGAGCACAAAAGCCTAGGGAGAGCGCCCAGTCTCTGAGTTCAAGCCCCAGGACAAACCGAAGATAATGATGTAACAGCTGGCAAAGCATACTGCAAATAGTTCAATCTAAAGGACAAAAAAACAAAAACAAAAGTAACATTGAAATCATCAGACTCACCTGTTTCTCTCCATACATCAATGAGCACGTGGACAGCGAGGAGACAGTAATAGTCAGAAAATTGCAATTCTGTTTTCAAACAGGATTTTCCTATGAGGAATTTAAAAAAGCAACATTTGTTCATTTATTACTGTCCCAAAGGAGGTTTTTTTTGTTTTCTTTGTGTGTGTATGTGTATGTGTGTGTGTGTGTGTGGCACTCTACTGCAGAAGACACAGTTCCACTTTTGGACTTTTGGTGTTTAGAGCTAAGAGTCTCATGAACTTTCCTGCCCAAGCTTCAAACCTTGATCCTCAAATCTCAACATCCAGCATGGCTAAGATTACAGGCATGAGCCACCAGAGGCCCACCCAAAAGATTTTTTTTTTTTTTTTTGTCGGTGTGGGGCCTGAACTCTGGGCCTGGGCACTGTCCCTCAGCTCTTCAGCTCAAGGTTAGCAACCTACCACTTGAGCCACAAAGCCACTTCTGTTTTTTTCTGCTTATGAGTTGCTGAGGAATCGAACCCAGGGCCTCATACATGCAAGGCCAAGCACTCTACCAGCCCCCTCCCCAAAAGAGTTTTTAAAGGAAGGAATGTGATGAGAAGAGGAAAGGGAAAAGGAAACAAAACAGGCTGAGTACCAGAAGAAATATACAAGCCATAAGGGCTGGGGAAGCAGCTATGTGGTAGAGTTTTGCCTAGCTTATGTGAGGCTCTGAATTCAACTCCTAGTTCTGTGCACTCTGGGTCATGAATGAAAAGATTAGATTATACTCAGCTAGACCAGAGAGAGCGCAAGAAAACACACAGTATTTAGCCTGGACCCAATGTGAAAGTTTCAAAAGGTTTTTAGGTAAAGAATCAAGGCCCATATATAAATAACTATATTAATATCATACACCTTACTTCATCTATTTTTTTTTCTACCAGTCCTGGGGCTTGAACTTCGGTCCTGGATTCTGCCCAAATGTCTCTGTACTCAAGGCTAGTGCTCTACCACTTAGGCCACAGCACCACTTTTGGCTTTTTCTGAATAGTTCTCTGGAGATAAGAGTCTCACAGGCCAGGTGCCAGTGGTTCATGCCTGTAATCCTAGCTACTCAGAGCCGGGCGCCGGTGGCTCACGTCTGTAATCCTAGCTACTCAGGAGGCTGAGATCTGAGAATCTCGGTTCAAAGCCAGCCCGGGCAGGAAAGTCCGTGAAACTCTTATCTCCAATAAACCACTAGAAAACCGGAAGTGGCGCGGTAGCTCAAGTGGTAGAGCACTTGCCTTGAGCTGAAGAGCTGAGGGACAGCACTCAGGCCCAGAGTTCAAGCCCCACAACCAAAAAAAGAAAAAAAAAGAAAAAAAAAAAAATCCTAGCTACTCAGGAAACTAAGATCCGAGAATTGCGGTTCAAAGCCAGCCCAGGCAGGAAAGACCATAAGATTCCAGAAAACCAGAAATGGTGCTGTGGCTCCAATGATAAAGTGCTAGCCTTGAGCTGAACAGCTGAGGGAGAGCACCCAGGCCCAGAGTTCAAGCCCCATGAACAACAAAAAAAATAAAAATTAAAAGTTATATATATATATATATGTATATATATATATATATAAAATGTCTTAAGTGGTAGAGTGTTAGCCTTGATAAAAAGAAGCTCAGGGACAGTGCTCAGGCCCTGAGTTCAAGCCCTGGGAAAAAGAAGTGTGTGTGTGCGTGTGTGTTTGTGTAATATTCCTTTTCTTAACTATAGAGAATATTAAAGCCTAGTGTGTGTGTGTGTGTGTGTGTGTGTGTGTGTGTAATATTCCTTAACTATAGAGAATATTAAAGCCTATATCCCCCCCCAATATGACAATCATCAACTATGCAATTCATATAAAGCTCCATATATAGCAGGAGCTACTACTCTTAAGCTCCCAGTGTGGGCAGAATCCCACCCAATAAAATGTGCACCTTAGCAAGCACAATGAGACATGTGGTGATGGCTGACCAAACAGCTGACTTGGAAGCATGAACAGGTCAGGCAAATACTGCACATCACACAAGGCTACTCACCAAATTCTAGTCCATGCTGGTACCTTAACATCAGTTCTCTGACCACACTCAGTTTCTGATTTTTATCCATAGTGTGGTATAAACCGAGTAACCTCGTCAGCTGCACCACACACAAATGCTGCTGCAGAGCTCGGATGTCAGCAGGCAGTGCAAGCTTATCATCCTCTGTGGGTGTCGACAAAGGAACAACTCCAAGTAACTGATTAATGAACTGCAGAATGAGAAAAAAAGGAATACAAATCTCAAACTGTAACTCCACAAATAGAAATGGTCTGGATAAAGCTATCAGAAACAAAAACAAAAACATAAATTCCAGATTTAATACACCATTTTCCATCTACTAACAGCTTATAAAGATGTCAGGAGTTGGGCTGGGAAGGTGGCTGAGTGGTAGAGTGCTTGCCTAGCATGCATGAAGCCCTGGGTTCCATTCCTCAGTACCACATACACAGAAAAAGCCAGAAGTGGTGCTGGCACTGTAGTTCAAGTGGTAGAAGGCTAGCCTTCAGCAAAAGCAGCTCAGGGACGGGACAGCACCCAGGCTAAGTTCAACCCAAGTCCCAAGGAAAAAAAAAAAAAGATGTCAGGGCAACACAAACGCTGTGACTCAGGTGAAACTAGCACATTCCTTCACTGCTGTCCAAAACTATGACTTGTACCCTTACTACAGGCCTACAGAAATAAAAAACATCATAAAAATGTTTCGCAAGTTGTGACATCTTGAGTATGTAACTAGAGTAATGAAAAGGTATCATAAGGAAGACTTAAAAAAAAAAAAAAAAGTAGCCAGGCATCAGTGGCTCATGCCTATAATTCTAGCTACTCAGGAGGCTGAGATTTAGGGATCGAGATTCAGAGCCAGCCCAGGCAGAACATCCATGAGACTCTAAATATACATGAGAAAAGCCAGATGTGGCGCTGTGGCTCAAGTGGTAGAACACTACTCTTGAGAAAAAAGCCCAGAGAGAAGGCCCAGGCTCTGAGTTCAAGCCCCAGGACTGGCGCACGCACACCATAAACTGCATTTGCAATAAATTCTTTTGTGGACAGTATTTGGGTTATGAACTCAGGGGCTTTGTGCTTGCTACCACATGAGCCACGCCTTCAGCCCTTTTGCTTGCATTGTTTCTTGAATAGGGTCTCATTTTTTTGCCCAGGTTGACTTAGACTAAATCTTCTCATTTATACTTCCCTCAGTGCAGAGAACATTCATGTACCAACACACTCAGTTTTTATTGGTTGAAGTGAGTTTCTAGAACTTTCTGACCAAAGCTGACTTCTAACCTCCATCCTCCTTATCTCAGCCTCCTGAGTAGGGAGGATTATTGGTATTGAGCCATATGCCCAGTGATTTACAAATAAATTTGCTGGGGGTACAGGTCCTGAGCTCAGGTACTGCCTGCTTTGCTTGCACTTGAGCCTCATCTCCAACTAACACAAAAATCTCCAGTTATCCCAGAATGAAATGATATAATGGGGCTAAGTCTCAAGTGACAGAGCCTAGTAAGCAAAAGTCCTGATATGGGGGTGTGTGGCTCCAGTGGCAGAAAGCCTGCCTTGCAAGCACAAAACCCTGAGTTTGATCCCTAATATCACCAGAAAGAGTAATTTTTTAAAAAGACTCCAATCACCTTCCAGGTGTTCATTCCCACTATAATTTGCCTTGAAGAGAAACTGTGCCTTTGATGTGATAGCACTCAAAGTACTTAGCTGACCAGCAAACTCACCATGTACCTCATGTTTGCTGTTCCCACACATTAAGGAAAGGAACCCCAAATGCTTAACCTAGTTTTCATCAACAAAATTCTGAAAGGTACTTACTTTTGTACACTGTGTAGCTGGCAATAGGTCAACAAACACTTTAAGGTCTGTAAAACAACACGGTTTATCTCCAAACATTTTAAAATACTGGAACATCAATTCTTCCGGGTCTCCTAAAAGGGAGAAAAGAAGTCAATAAATTATCCATAAACTTTAGCAATTTCTAAATCAAATGAGTTTAATTTTATAGCATTCATTTTGCTGAGTGTTGGTGGTTCATGCCTATAAGTACGGTTTGAAGCCAGCAAAGACAGGAAAGTCCTTGAGACTCTTTAACTCCAATTACCAAAAAAACTTTGAGCTATGCTTCAAAGTGGTAGAACATGTTGATGGCTCATGTCTATATCCTAGCTACTCAGGAGGCTGATATCTGAGGATCACGCTTCAAAGCCAACCCAGGCAGAAAAGTCTATGAGACTCTTATCTACAATGAACTACCAGAAAACTCGAAGTAGTGCTGTGGCTCAAAGTGGTAAAGTGCTAGCCTTGAGCAAAAAGAGCTCAGGGACAGTTCCCAGGCCCTGAATCAAGTCGCATGACTAAAAAAAAAAAAACACCTCAGGGAAGCCAGGCTCCTGTGTCTCATGCCTATAATCCTAGCTACTCAGGAGGTGATTCGAGGATCAGATTTCTCATCCAGTGGAAGCAGGAAAAGTCCATAAGACTTTTAGCTCCAATTAACCACCAAAAAGTCAGCATAGAGCTATGGCTCAAATGGTACAGCATAGCCTTAAAGGAAAAACAAAAAAAAAAGCTCGGGACAATGTCCAGGTTCTGAATTCAAGCTCCATGATCAGTACCAAAAACAGTAATAATAAAAATATTAACCAGGCCAGGCACTGGTGGCTCATGCCTGTAATCTTAAGCTACTCAGGAGGCTGAGAGCTGAGGACCGCGGTTCAAAGCCAGCCTGGGCAGCAAAGTGTCTGTAAGACTCTTAATCTCCCATTAACTACCAGAAAACCAGAAGTGGCACTGTGTCTCAAGTGGTAGAATGCGAGCCTTGAGCTGAAGAGCTCAGGGACAGTGCTCAAACCCAGAGTTTAAGCCCCATGACTGACAAAATCATCATCATCATCATCATCAATGTAAAAAAGGGGCTAGCAGGCTCCAAATGGAAGAGCATCTACCCAACAAGCATGAAGTCCTGAGTTCAAACACCAGCACTTCCAAGGAAAAGAAGACATGACATCATAGCTATTCAACAAATGTAATACCCATACCAGCACGTTTGTAAGATATAAGCTGGTGAGTGGAAGGGGGAGCTAGGAAATAAAACAGGTATCAAGACAGATCCACAGACATTCATGTTCAGTTTGCAAAGAAAGTAAGCCTCCAGTTCTGTAGCTAGTATATCCAGTGAGGTCTAATAATGTAGCCCAAAAGAGGAAGCCAACACAGAACTAACTGGCTATGAATAAGCTACAAAGGGAATGACAGAGAAAGAACACTGAATTTTAGGATGAATAGCCAAGAACACTAATTAGATAATAAAATGTGTGGAGACCACAGGACAGATGACACACACTGCAGGCGCATTATCACAGGACAAGTGGCCACCAGAACACATGTGGACCAGCCCTAAAAAGGACCAAACGTTCAGTGATAATGAAGTTTTTTTTTTCCTTTTTTTGTCGGTCATGGGGCTTGAACTCTGGGCCTGGGCGATGTCCCTCAGCTCTTCAGCTCAAGCCAAGTACTCTTGAGCTACAGCGCCACTTCCGGATTTCTGGTGGTTTATTGGAGATAGGAGTCTCACGGTCTCTCCTGCCCTGACTGGCTTTGAACCGCGATCCTCAGATCTCAGCCTCCTGAGTAGCTAGGATTACAGGCGTGAGCCACCAGCACCCGGCTTTTGATAATGAAGTTTTTTAAAAGTTTCTTTGGGGCTCTCTTTTTCAAAGGAATACTGAAAAAAATGACTATTTATTACCTAAGTTTAGTGAATGCCAGAATTTAATTGAAACTATGAGACAGTTACCTTAGGGAAGGCATTCACAACATTGAAAAGTAGCAACAATTCCTTCACTTCTGATTTGTGATGATTATAAAGAACCACTGTACCAGAACATCTAAGGTTCCATCAAATTTCCTAAGGGTCTCCATTAATACTCTACCATTCTTTTGTCCCTGTGCTATTATCTTCACAAATTTATACTTTCTGGTCAGCTGCTAACCGCGCTAATTCTACCCAATATCGCTTTACTTTTCCTTCATGTGCTAGAAGTAAACCCAGAATCTGCCGAAGTAGCAGGCAAATGCTCTATCACTGAGCTCTATCCTCAGACCTCCAATATTCTTTTGTCAAGAGTTAATAGTTTTGGTGAAAATAGCTTTTCCAAAGCTTTCATCCATTTCATAAAACCGGCAAGTTCTCCTGGAAGCTGATTTGACTTTCTTATTGGGTTAGCAAAAGCACTGATAAAAACAAGCTGTATTGGGGCTGGGAAGGTGGCTCAGTGGTAGAGCGCTTGCCTTGCATGCCTGAGGCCCTGGGTTCGATTCCTCAGCACCACATAAGCAAAACGAAAAAGCCGGAAGTGGCACTGTGGCTCAAGTGGTAGAGCGCTAGCCTTGAGCTGAAGAGCTGAGGGACAGCGCCCAGGCCCAGAGTTCAGGCCCCACGATCGGACCCCCCCCCCCCCAAAAAAAAAAAAAAACAAGCTGTATTAAGGATTATCTTTGTAAGTGATTCTTCAGGCCGATATTGTGATACACACTTAGAATTCCAGCTACTCAATAGACAAGAGACTGGGAAGACCAGAGTTGGAAGCCAGACTGCAAAAAGTTTACAAACGCCATCTCAACTAAAAAGCTGAATGTGGTGCTACATGCCTATGAATACAGCTACACAGGCTGTAGATGGGAGTATTATATTGTCCAAGGCTAGCACTTACAAAATTGCCATACCCTATCTAAAACATAACCTAAAGCAAAGAGGGCTGGAATGCTTGCATAGAAAATAGGTTTTTTAAGCCAGATGCTGGTGGCTCACGCCCATAATCCTAGCTCCTAAGGAGGCTGAGATCTAAGGATTATGGTTGAAAGCCAGCCTAGGCAGAAAAGTCCCCAGGAGACTCTTACCTCCCATAAACTATCAAAAAAGGCTGGAAGTCTCACTGTGGCTCAAGTGGTAGAGCACTAGCTTTGAGCATGAAGAGGCTCAGGGTCAGCGCCCAGGCCTTGAGTTCGAGCCCCAGGACCAGCAAAAGAAAAAAGAAAACAGGCTTTAAGTGTAAACCCCAGTACCACCAAAAAATAAAATAAAAAATAACAGTACATCGGGGCTGGGAAGGTTGCTCAGTGGTAGAGCACTTGCCTTGCATGCCTGAGGCCCTGGGTTCGATTCCTCAGCACCACATAAGCAAAAAGAAAAAAGCCGGAGGTGGCGCTGTGGCTCAAGTGGTAGAGCACTAGCCTTAAGCTGAAGAGCTGAGGGACAGCGCTCAGGCCCAGAGTTCAGGCCCCACAACCGGACCCAAAAAGAAAAAAAAAAACAGTATATGATCCATTTTCCAGTGAACACTTTCAGATGACTTCAGATTGCTACACTTCATCATCACTGGAATCAGAGGCACTGAGGACATCCCTATGCCTGCTCCAGGGTCCACAAACACTGTACCACTTCTTACCCAGCTTGTACTCATCATTACACCCTTGACTTCGTAAACGCCTAATCAGCTCCAGTTTAGCCAGATGTGGTCCTCGGAGATGGCGAGAGCCTCTGGACTCCTCTGTTATCCGGTCTTCTATAAACTTCACAGCCTCTTCTGCTGAATAATGTACTTCTCCTTCTAAAGAGCTGGGTACAAACACATTAAAAAAGGTATTTTTATTACCTCTACCATCCTTCCAAAAGGTTAAAGCCAAGTGGAATTCATTGTTTTCTATGTGGGTAAGAGGGCAAGATGGGTTCATATTTGGTATCTTTTATTTTGTCCAATGATAGGGATTAAACCCAAATGTCAACAACACTGCCTCAGAGTTACTCAGGGCTTGACCACTGTCCCTGAGCTTCTTTTGCTCAAGGGTAGCGCTCTACCACTTGAGCCACAGAACTACTTCCAGCTTTTTCTGTGTATGTGGCACTAAGGAATCAAACCCAGATTTTCATGCATGCTAGGAAAGCACTCTACTACTAAGCCACATTCCCAGCCCTCAAAGCTATCAAATCCACAACTGCTATTTTAGATCTCCTCTACCGTAATTCCTATCTTAAACATTATTCCTGCATTCATTATTTTTAAAATATCCCATTTCTGGGCTGGGTAGGTGGCTCAGTTGGTAGAGCGCTTGCCTTGCATGCCTGAGGCCCTGGGTTCGATTCCTCAGCACCACACAAGCAAAAAAGAAAAAACTGGAAGTGGTGCTGTGGCTCAAGTGGTAGAGCGCTAGCTTGAGCTGAAGAGCTGAGGGACAGCGCCCAGGCCCAGAGTTCAGGCCCCGTGACTGGACCCCCCCCCAAAAAAAAATCCCATTTCTGTTTATTATAGTATTAACTATAATAAGAAAGAAAAAAAAAAGAAATCCAAAAAAAACTAAGTATCATCAATAGAGAAGTTAAATAAATCATCTCTAAGACAGAGGGGGAAAAAATGAGAGAAAAAAATCTTACTTTGAAGGATTTTACAATTCAGACAGAATTCAATTAGCTTCTGCTAAAAAAAAAAAAAACCTATTTGAAAGTGCTGTTGTAATTCAGGAAAGATGACTTACTGTTCACCTTCAGCGGGAGGGGTCCAGGCCTCTTCAATCAGTCGGAAGACAGAATCGAAATAAGTCAGATAGAACTGCCAGTCATCTGAGCTAAAATCAGATTGAATGATGCACACAGGATTAAATACAAGTTGTGATAAATCTGTCTTATGCACCATGTAGCATTACTTTTGTTCTAAGTTACGTTTCTTTGTAAGTAAGGAATGGTTCACCCATTCCTATAGAAACTTTGCAACTCTTAAGAGAATATCACTCCAGAAGCATTATCATCAAAGTGAAAGACTTAAAAACAAAAAACAAAACAAACAAAGCTATGTGTCCCTTCAAAAAAATAACCATGCTGGGCACCACGCCTGTAATCCTAGCTACTCAGGAGGCTGAGAGCTGAGGATCTCGGTTCAAAGCCAGCTCAGGCAGGAAAGACCGTGAAACTTTTTCTTTTTTTTTGGGGTCTGGTCATGGGGCCTAAACTGGGCCTGGGTGCTGTCCCTCAGCTCTTCAGCTCAAGGCTAGCACTCTACCACTTGAGCCACAGCGTCACTTTCGGCTTTTTAATTTTTGCTTATGTGGTGCTAAGGAATCGAACCCAGGGCCTCATGCATGCAAGGCAAGCACTCTACCACTGAGCCACCTTCCCAGCCCCAAGGCCGTGAAATTCTTATCCCCAATAAACCACCAGAAAACTGGAAGTGGTCCTATGGCTCAAGTGGTAAAGTGCTAGCCTTGAGCTGAAGAGCTGAGGGAGCGCCCAGGCTATCAAAGAAAAGTAACTTTATTGTTTGGTTAGTTGGCTGGTTTTTGCACTTACTAGGGAGGTATAATACTACTTGAGACATGGAGCCAGCACAGTTTTCTCCAATTGTTTTTTAGGGTAAGTTTTGTACTTTTACCCAGGCTGGCCTCATACCTCTATCTTCCTATTTGTTTCTTGTTAGCTAAGCCTATGCCATCTCAACTCAGCTTTTATTAGTTGAGATAGAGTGTTACAAACCTTTTGCCTGCGCTGGGCTTGAACTGCAAGCCTCTCAATCTTTATCTCTTAAACAGCTAGGGTTACAGGCATAAGCCACCTTGCCCAACCTAGAAAATTTACTTAACAGATGACTGTCCAAATGAGCTCTTCCTATATAGGAGGTGGTGTCCTAAGAAGGAAGACTCTTTTGGGCCAATATTGGTTGTAATACATTTATGATATTCAGCATTCATTCTCCAGGTCTAGCCACCATGGTGACATTAAGTACCATTGTACCTCCTTAGCAAAAGGTGAAGGCTCTTTGAAAACTTGCTTTTTAAAAATACCAACAATACAACTACTGAGAGAATTTTCTCTCTACCTAGAAATCTCAAAATACACAGGCACAAAAATTGTCAATAATGAGGCCAGGAAACCTGCTGATGATCTCAGCACAAAATCCAGGATCTACTCACTTTTTCAGTAAGAGGCGCCGGGAAAGAGCGTTGCACTCTGGCCACCTGCTCAGCTTCTTGTACATAGCCATGCATTTGTTCTCTCGACTCTGAATCTCACTTGTCAACTTCTCTATAACACAAAGTTACGAAAGTTGGTGAGTTGGTGCCTTTCCACCCCAAACCAGAAAAAAGTCCAATCATAGATGGGAAAAGGTTTCATTTTCCTTATTTAGTCCTTAAAAAATGGGATTGCTCTTAAACCCAAGCTTATAATAAAGATTTCACTTAAGAGAACAAAGGAGGGGCTCTGGGTTCAATTCCTCAGCACCATATAAACAGAAAAAGCTGGAAGTGGCACTGTGGCTCAAGTGGTAGAGTGCTCACCTTCAGCTGAAGAGCTGAGGGACAGGGGTCAGGCCCAGAGTTCAAGCCCCATGACCAACCCCCTCCCCCCCCAACAAAAAGAGAAAACAAAGGATATTTCTAATGTTAAATTTTTATAATTGCTTTGTCAGTTAAAAACAAGGGTGCACTGGGCTGGGAATGTGGCTTGGTGGTAGAGTGCTTGCCTAGCATACATGAAGCCCTGGTTCAATTTCTGGGAAAAGCCAGAAGTGGCGCTGTGGCTCAAGTGGTAGAGTGCTAGCCTTGAGCAAAAGAAACTCAGGGACAGTGAGTGCCCAAGCCCTGAGTTCAAACCCCAAGACTGGCCAAAAAGAAAAAAAAAAGAGGTATACAATGGAGATTGCGTATGTGGAAGACTCATAAAACTACTCCAACAAATTTAGCCCAGGCAAACAGTTGGTTTTTTTTGTTATTTGGGGGGGGGGGGGGGGGGGGTCGTGGGACTTGAACTCAGGGTCTGGGTACCATCCCTGAGCTCCTTTGCTCAAGTCTAGTGCTCTACCACTTTGAGCCACAGTGCCACTTCCAGTTTTCTGGTGGTTCACTGGAAAGCCTCAGAGACTTTCCTGTGCAGGCTGGTTGTGAACCACGATCTTGAAATCTCAGCCTTCTGAGTAACTAGGATTACAGATATGAGCCACCAGTGCCTGGCACAGTTCTTTTGTGTATGTGTTTGTGTGCATGCATGTGACTGTATGCACTGAAGTGGTACCAGAAAAATTAATTAACAACATATAGAAAAAAATCTGTAAGAATATTACAAAGTTATCAATCACAAGTGAATCTATAACATTTTAACATGTTTATTTTTTATGAGAAAAAATTTAGCACAATAAATAATTTTTATGCTTAAACAGAAAAAAATTCAGGAAAACTTTTAAAATTACCTCCTAATTTCCCCCTAATGACATCCAAGGCTTGCTGGTACTTCCCCAAGCGTTCCAGGATCATATAGTAAAGTTCCACCTTACAGAAGACATAAATGAGGACAGCCATTGCAGTTTTTCAATAATAAAATCATCACGTGTATGTTTTTGTTGGTTTTTTTTTTAACACTTATTTAATAGAACACTATCCTCCAGTGAGATGAAACTTCCCACCCACACATCTCATCCTAGGGTACTTGCTAAAGACCAGAAAGCTTCAATTATAGGCAGGGCAGAGATGGAGAGGCTAGGTGAAACTAGACTAGAGTTAACAGTACTTTAGCACAATATTGTGAGACTACTAAAATCACACTCACCTCAGCCTCAGCTTCGATCTTGTCCTCTTTCACCATTTTTTCTACCATTCTCTCAGCAAGGGGCAGAAACATGGTTTTAGACAGGTTTTCATCCTGTGCTGATATAGACTAGAAGGGGAAAAATAAATGGTTCATTCTAACTTTTCCCCTGCTTGCACTATTCCTATTAACACGCAACTCTGGCATATAACTGCTGATCCAACGTGTCACATAGCTGATCTACTCTGAACCTGCCAACTGGCCATCTAAGAGATTATATGCTTTACAAGAGATTCCTTCACCACAGCTTCACCAACCAGTGCATTTTGAGATGCTAGACTTCCACCATGACATATCCCTGCCTTTCTTTAGAAATGTGAGGCCCTGTATAAGCTTGTCATACGTCAACAGTGTCCTCAGCTGTGAGGAAGGAGAAATGCCGATTCTTCTCATTTATATAGTTACTGGCTACAATTACCTTAAATACTGTCTGACCCCAGAATGCCTATTCTTAATCACTACATTTTAACTATTCTTCCGCATCTTCTCCTACAAAGAATCTCACTTTGCTGCTTACAGGAAGCATTTCCATTCCACAAAAGAGCAAGCCAAGGCTCAGAAAGGAAAACACTAAATGAAGGCTGACCCATTCAATGACTGCTCACTCACCTCTAACACTGCCTCTGTCATCTCCAGACTGAGCTTCATGACTGACCAAATAACCCAGCAATGGATCAAACACTCAGGGGAAATTGAGTCTCTGTTATGTACAAATAAACTGATATACCAACTAAGGCCTAAGGCCCGGTATCCCAGAACTCAGGAGGCAGAAGCAGCAGGATCTCCAGTTTTAGCCTAACCTGGGCTACTTAAGAGTTCAAAGCCAGCCTGGGCTGTGTAGAAGAAAGGAGGGAAGAAGCGAAAGAAGTGGAAGGAAGGAGGAGGAAGAGGAGAAAAAAGATACCAAATATCCCTACCTAGGAAAATCACCTGACAATAAGTCTTATATTTAACACTCACTGCAGTATGTTCAGAAACACTTTAAGAAAATAAATTTTTAAAGACATACTTTGATGCATTCCAAATGCCATACTCACTTGCATAATTAAGCTCATCACAGACCAAAAGTAGTAAGGGTTTTTGGGGACAATCTTATATAGAGCCATGCCAGCCTGAAAGAGAGCCATTAAATTAGAATAACTAATTTAGAAAATATCACATAGAGATCAATTAATAACTAGGTATGAAGGAAACAATAAATAAAAATAATCTAGGTACGTAGAAGAAGTTTCCTAAAAGACCAGCATCACATTTACATATCCCAGATGAGAGCCAAGTTACTTAATGATGACAGCAGTCATCAGAAGGGGGTTCTACATCTTGAGTGCTATTTTCACCTTTCCAACTATCTTATTCTAAGAGAAAAGTCCAAATATTCACAGCCTACAACATGATCTAATACAGTTCTACAGGCTACCATGCAAACACACAAGTCTTACAAATATTTATCAGTAAGCAATCATTCCTGAAAATGCCACAATAACCATTTATAGTAAAACAAAGAAAAGCAGATAGTAATAAGGCAGCGTGGCACATGCCTGTAATCTGGGCACTAATGAATCAAAGGATGGAATATCAAGAGTTTAAAGGCCAGGCTGGACTATATAGTACCAAACAAGCAAACAACAGAAAAAGAAAACAAAAAACCTCAAACGGAATATTTAAACATCAAAATCAAGAGTACAAGGACATAAATCAAAAAATAATTCTTAAATTAGGAAAACAGTTAGGTTCTTTCAAGATAGCAATCAAAATTAAGCCTTTCATTGTGAAATGTACAATATGCAGCATTACTTCAAAGCAGGGACATGACAAAATGAAATAATATACTTATTCAAGCATATCTGAGAACCTATTCATAATGAGCTAACTGGAAGCTAGAAGTCTGTTTACTAATCATCATAGTCACTGTTTTATGTCTTTTACTCTTCTGCCAACTGTCAATCCACTTCCAAAGTTACATGAGCCCCAATAAAGCATAAAGGGCTGTCTATTCCTGCCAATGATTTAATGATTGTAGCCTTGTCCCAAAAGCTCTAAAAGTTAAGAAAAGAACTCTTGATATCCTAGGTTTCATCCCCTGTAAGGCCAAAGGGTGTAGGGGGGAGGGGGAGGGGAGCAGCAGGCAGAGAAGGAGAGAGAGAGAAGAAAGAGAAGCTAGGAAGATATGATAAATACACAACTGCAATTTAATTTACAATAAAAATGCATACTAAAATATCATGGCAGTGCTGGGAATGTGGCTCGGTGGTAGAGTACTTGCTTAGCATGCATGAAGCCCTGAGCTCAATTCCTCAATACCACAAAAAGAGATAAAGCTGGAAGTGGTGCTGTGGCTCAAGTGGTAGAGTGCTAGCCTTGAACAAAAGCAGCCCAGGAACAGTGCCTAGGCCCAGAGTTCAAGCCCCAGGACTGGCAAAAACAAAAACAAAAACACCATGGTATGGTAGGCTTTTCCAAGAAAAATTTAGTTAAGTTTATTTCCTTTCTACTTTCTTTAAGGGAAACTGGGAGGAGACTGGTATGTGTAAAGCCTCTGGGAAGCAGCACTGGTTCAGCAGTCAGACAGGTGCTGCCAGGCAAAGACCTGAGGTGAGGCTGTGGATGCAAGAACAAGTATTTGGCTGGGGATAAGTAACTACATCAGTTCTAAGATGGGAAAAATATCAAAGTAAGTAAAAAAAAAAAAACCTAGGTGAAGTTCAGAGGTAGCTTAGCAAACACGGGGCCTGTGTCCAATTCCCAGAACCCCTAAAAAAAAATAATAAAAAAACAAAGGGTTGAGATGTAGCTCAGTAATAGAATACCTGCTCAGCATGTATGTGCAAGGACCTAATTATAATCTCTAGCACAATTTTTAAAAAGTGGGGGAGATCTTTGGAGGCATGGCTCAGGTGGTAGAGCCCACCTAGCAAGAACCTAGCAAGCACCTTGCAAACACCTAGCAAGCACCTTGCAAGCACCTAGCAAGCATAAGATGGAGTTCAAAATCCATGTGCCAGTGGTCCACACCTATAATCCTAGCTACTCAGGAGACTAAGATCTGAGGAACAAGGTTGAGGCCAGCCCAGGCAAGAAAGTCCGTGAGTCTAATCTCCAATCAACTTGTGGGGGGGGAAAGCCAGAAGTGGAGCTGTAGGCTCAAGTGGTAGAGTAGAAAAGCTCAGAGACAACACCCAGACCCTCAGTTCAAGCCCCAGGACTGGCACAGAATAAAGGAAGGAAGGAAGGGAGGGAGGGAGGGAGGCAGGGAGGGAGGCAGGGAGGGAAGAAGGAAGGAAGGAAGGAAGGAAGGAAGGAAGGAAGGAAGGAAGGAAGGAAGGAAGGAAGGAAGGAAAAGGGGTTGCAAGGCAGACTGTGGGTACCTTTGTTGAGAAGTCTTCCAAAAGGACTCTATAGAAAGCAGGGAAATGATACATATAAATCAACTTTTCAGAGAATTCTATGTTAACACTACTGTGCAGACAGAAAACAGGAAGAAAGGAGGCATTAAACAAGGATGAGGTAGATCAAAAAGAGAAGAGATCTGAAAGCAATATGGAGTATATTCCAAAGGATTGGACAGACAGCCTAGGATGGCCTGAAGTCCCTGTAGCTGAGACTGGGGTACACACACTGGAGGAATGGGATGAAAACTGTTAGAAACAGTCTGACATCGTAACTGTTAATGAGCTTTTTGTGTGGGTGTTTCATTCCTCTCCAATGTCAGCTTTACCAATACACTAGTTCAGACAGGTCCATGTCCAGATGAAGCTCCCTCAAATATACACACAAAACACTAACTGGCAAGAAGCTGCCTCAGGAAAATATTAAAAACAAAAAGTCACTCAAACAATGAAGACTTTTTTTCCCCTTCTAAAAAAATCTCACCATGGCCTGGCCCTAGCAGTTCAAGCCTGTAATCCTAGTTACTCAGGAGGTGAGATCTAAGGATAGAGGCAAAAAGCCAGCCTGGGCAGAATCGTCTATGAGATTCTTATCTCAAGTAAACAAGCCAAAAGCCAGAAGTGGAGCTGTGGCTCAAGCAGAAGAGTATCAGTCTTGAGCAGAGAAAACCAAGAGTGCAAAGCACTGAATTCAAGCTCCAGTGCTGGTACAAATTTAAAAATAACCACAACAATAATGAACAAAAATAAAAAACCCAGCAGATTAGAGTTGTCCAGAGAGCATGGCTCAGCAGCATTGCGTTAGTTAAACATGAGGCCTAAGTTCAAACCCAAGTGCCACCTAAAATTTAAAAAACAAAAACAGGGCTGGGAAGGTGGCTCAGTGGTAGAGCGCTTGCCTTGCATGCCTGAAGCCCTGCGTTCGATTCCTCAGCACCACATAAGCAAAAATAAAAAAGCCGGAAGTGGCACTGTGGCTCAAGTGGTAGAGTGCTAGCCTTGAGCTGAAGAGCTGAGGGACAGCGCCCAGGCCCAGAGTTCAGGCCCCACGACCGGAAAAAAAAAATAAAATAAAAAACAAAAACAAAATCCAGAAGGCTACAAACACTTAAATTTACAAACTAGATGAAACTTTAAAATTATTCTTCCGATAGTCTATTCATTTCAGATTGCTATCTGATGCTATTCATTTCAGATTGCTATCTAACGCAGTGGGACAGTTACCGAAACCAAACAAAACATACCATTTTAAGCCACACAAGAACAATCAACTCTTTCTCAAATAAGACACCTTTAATAAATGTGGCTGATCACTGCAAACCAATATATAATTTTAATTTTCTACACACACACACACACACACAACACAGCAATTAAACCACATTACCACTTAACAGTAACCCCACAGCCCGATAGATATGGGGCTCAAGTTACCTGTTGCATTTTCTTGTATTCCCCTACTCTGGCATAGGCCATGAAGAGGTGCGAGTGGTATTCCTCACTATTGGGAACTTTCTTCACAGCTGCCTCATAAAGTTTTGTAACTAACTCCGCTAAGACAAAGAGAAATAAAAATTTCAGCATGCTTCAATAATCAAAGCAAATCCTAACAGCATTTAATGTTCTCCCTATTTGGTACAAATGGAGGTGTGCTACCAGTGAGGAGGAGGAACGCATTCGCTTTGCCTTTACATCATCTGATATTCACTTTGTTTTTTTGATGTGTATGTGTACAGGTCCTGGGGCTTGAACTCAAGGCCTGGGTACTCTCCTTGAGCTTTTTCTTACTCAAGATTAGCCCACTAGAGCCACAGCTCCACTTCTAGCTTTTTGGATAGCTAATTGGAGATAAGAGTCTCACAGACTTTCTTTCCTAGATTGGCTTCAAACTGCAATCCTCAGATCTCAGCCACAGGCATGACCCACCAGCATCTGGCTGATACTGACTCTACTAGCTGTTGTTTGGCAGAAGCACAAAGTAGCTCAGATCGCCTCATTACATTTACAACATACAACAGCAACCAGGACCCGCTCTGTCTCCTTCCTAATTCTTTCCCCTAGTATTTCATTGTTAAATTGTTTTAGTTCCACTAGACTCGATACTCAGAGACATGAAATCTGGATATTGAGGTTCAAAGCCAGCCTTGGCAGGAAAGGTCAGTCCATGAGACTCTGACCCACAAAATTACCCAGGCAAAAGACAGAAGTAGAGGTGTGGCTCAAGTGACAGAGCGGAGTGCTCAAGCCCTGGTACTAGCACCAAAGTGAAAACAAGGGGAAAAGACTTCATTTAGCAAATCACAATGACACAAATAAACTCACTTAAAACTTCATTCCACTTCATGAAACCTAACTCTCGTAAATATATTTTCTGTTCAAGAGCTTCCATCAACAAGCCCTGGCTACTGTGTCAATCTAACTAGTTATCATGTAAATCATGGTTGATACCTAAACCAGACAAAGCAAATAGAGAAGTCCTCAGAAAAGGGGAAAGCCTATGCTTCACAGTGGAAAGAAAGCCAACATACGCCGATGCATCTCCCGGTAGAGAATGGTCAGTGCTTGGAGTGAGTTGTCATCTGTGGGCTCCAGAGCGGCCACTTCCTGAGCCAGAGTGAAAGCTTCCTCTTGCTTTCCAGTTCTCTGTAAACCAATTGCCTTTAGGACCTACCAGCAAGGAAAGAAATGTCAGTTTTGCTTGTTTTTTTTGAGGATGGGGGGGCAGTACTGTGGTTTGAACTAAGACCTTCATACTTGCTAGATAAGCAATCTACCACTTTAGCAATGTGTCCTACCAAATCCATTTTTAAAATGAAAAGCTGAGCTGGGTGCCAGTGGCTCATGCCTGTAATCCTAGCTACTCAGAGGCTGAGATCTGAGGATCATGGTTCAAAGCCAGCCCAGACAGCAAAGTCTGTGAGACTCTTATCTCCAATTAACCACTCAGAAAAAGCTAGAAGTGGCACTGTGGCTCAAGTGGTAGAACACTAGCCTTGAGCACAAAGAGGTTCAGAGACAGCTCCCAGGTCCTGAGTCAAGCTCCACCAAAAAAAGAAAAGGAAAAGCTGAGACAGGAGAAAGAAATGGAGAGTTCAAGGTCAATCCCTAAGGCAAGCTTATGTGGCAGTTTATGGATCAGCACAATCTTAAATTTAAACCTTAAATATGATATAATTTAAGATTTCTTCCTATTTGCTTAGTTTTTTGTTTTTTTGTTTTTTGGTCAGTTGTGGGGCTTGAACTCTAGGCCTGAGTGCTGTCCCTCAGCTCTTCAATTCAAGGCCAGAGCTCTACCACGTGAGCTACAATGCCACTTCTGGTTTTCTGGTGGTTTATTGGAGATAAGAGTTTCATGGACTTTCCTGCCCAGGCTGGCTTTGAACGGCAATCCTCAGATCTCAGCCTCCTGAGTAGCTAGGATTACAAGCGTGAGCTACTGGGGCCTGGCTATTTTTGTTTTTTGAGAGTAGTTTTTTGTTTGTTTGTTTGGGGGGGGCGCATTGTTTTGGGGATCAAACCTCGAGCCTTGTACATTCTAGACAAGCACAATACTTGCTGGTACCTTTGCTCAGGACTGCCTCCAACTCAAGATCCTCCTGTCCCCTAAGATTACAGGAGTGTACCAACTGCCAGACCTTAATTTAGTCATACTAAGAGTGTATAGTAGCCACATAGGGCATGCTATAAAATATTCTAAAAACGGCACAAATACTAAAGAGAGCAAACATCTCCTTCCTTTAAGGAACTTAAAAAAAAAAAAAAAAAAGCTGGAGATGTGGCTCAAGTGGTGGAGTATTTGCCTAGAAAGCTCAATGCAAATGTAAACAATCCCAAAGCTCCAAGTTCAAACTCCAGTACTCCCAAAAATAGTAATAGGGCTAGAAATGTGGTTTAGTGGTACAGTGCTTGCTTAGCATGCATGAAACCCTGGGTTCGATTCCTCAGTACCACATAAACAGAAAAAGCCAGAAGTGGTACTGTGGCTCAAGTAGTAGAGTGCTAGCCTTTAGCAAAAAGTAGCTCAGGACAAGGCCCAGGCCCTGAGTTCAAGCTCCAGGACTGGGGGAAAAAATAGTAATAATAATAGTCTTTAACTCCTTCATGGGAAGCAGGAAAGGTTTCTATTTCTCCCTCCTTTAACCTTATTTTTATACTTAAAAAACTTTGCTAAAATGAAAAAAAAAGTTGCAAAAAAGGAAAGGCCAATTAAGAATTACAAATATAACTATATATATGAACACTCGAGCTCAAAAAAACTTACCTTAGCACAGTGAAGATCCTTGTGTTTCTTCAACAATTTGTCTGCCTGCTGAATTGCCATTTTATTATTCCCATTATCAAGATAATCTACAAAGAGAAAATATGTTGTAGTCATTACATTCCTACAGCAAAAAATACAAAAAATGGGGGAGGGAGGTTGTTCACGTGGTAAAGGACCTGCTTAGCAAGCATGAGTCTCAGAGTTCAATTGCAATACTGAAAAAAAAGAACTAACCACCAGGTACTGGTGGCTCAAACCTGTAATTCTAGCTACCCAGGAGACAGATCTGAGGATCATGGTTCAAAGCCAGCCTAGGCAGGAAAGTCTGTGAGACCCTAATCTCTAGTTAACTACCAAAACAACGGAAGTGGAGTTGTAGCTCAAAGTGGTAGAGGCTAGCCTTTTACAAAAGACTCAGGGACAACACTCAGGTCCTGAGTTCAAGCCCCACGACCAACAAGAACAGCAAGAGTCCCATGTACTTCTTTTCTGTCCATGCTGGCTTCAAGCCAAGATTCTCAACTCTCAGCCCCCTGAGAAGTTAGGATCACAGGCATGAGCCACCACAGCTTATCTGACATACATATACAGTAGATTAACTTTCACTCAACCATATCCATAACCTTGTGTGACTAGGGCACGTACAGTATATTATTAGTAACCATAGCCCTCAACCTGTAGGTTAGATCTCGAGACCTGTTCATATAGCATAACCACACTGTGGCCTTATCACCTACATCTCCCTTGTCTACCACTCCCAAACTTTGTCACCACTGGGTGGAGAGGGAAGTCAAAGGGAAGGGGAATAAGCTCCTTTCTCAGGGTCTTCATCCCTGTCTCTTCATCTCTTCACCTAACTCCTGCTCTTCTTTCATATCTAAACTTATTGCAGACCCTAGGTCTGATCCAGTATGGCCAAAAGATGAAAATCAGTTGGGATTACAAACTCCTAAAAATTAGAATCTTGTCTGTGTTGTTCTCATTCCCTTACCTTCCCTGTGCCTAACTTATAATAAGTTCTAAGTTAATATGCAAGATGAAGAAAGGAATTTATCCTGGGCCCCACTGGCTCACATTGAGATCTGAGGACCAAGATTCAAAGCCAGCCTTGGCAGACAAATCTTATTTCCAATTAACCAGAAAAAGCTGGAAATGGAGGTGTATCTCAAGTGGTTGAGTGAAAAAGCTAAGCATAAGCATGTGAGCCTCTTAGTTCAAGCTCCAGTACCAGCATCAAAAAACAAAAGAAAAAGAAATAAATAAAAATAAATGCACAGGGGCTGGGAAGGTAGCTCAGGGGTAGAGTGCTTGCCTTGCATGCATGAGGCCCCTGGGTTCGATTCCTCAGTACCACATACACAGAAAAAGCTGGAAGTAGGTGCTATGGCTCAAGTGGTAGAGTGCTAGCCTTGAGCTGAAGAGCTCAGGACAGTGCCCAGGCCCAGAGTTCAAGCTCCACGACCAGCAAAAAAAAAAAAAAAAAAAAAAAAGCACAAAAAAATAAAGGATAAAGAAGAGGGCTGGGGGACTAGGAAGGTGGCTCAGTGGTAGAGCGCTTGCCTTGCATGCGTGAGACCCTGGGTTCCATTCCTCAGCACCACATAAGCAGAAAAAGCCAGATGTGGCGCTATGGCTAAAGTGGCAGAGTGCTAGCCTTCAGCAAAAGAAGCTCAGGGACAGTGCCCAGGCCCTGAGTTCAAGCCCTAGAACTGGCCAAAAAGAAAAAAGAGAGGGCTGGGAAGGTGGCTCAGTGGTAGAGTGCTTGCCTTGCATGCGTGAGGCTCTGGGTTCGATTCCCCAGCACCACATAAGCAAAAAGAAAAAGAGCCATAAGTGGCGCTGTGGCTCAAGTGGTAGAGCGCTAGCCTTGAGCTGAAGAGCTGAGGGAGAGCACCCAGGCCCAGAGTTCAGGCCCCACAACCGGACCCCCCCCCCCCAAAAAAAAAAAGCAAAGAAAAAAGAGAGTGATGCACTTATCTGTAAGATGATACAAAGTAGCTAAACAATACTTATTTGAGCAGAAAAAGAAAGTGGCTGAGAGAATCTTTCCTTTAATCCAACAAAGATGATAAGCAATGGCCAGGTACAGATGTACATGCCTGTAATTCCAGCACTTGGGAAGGGGAAGCAGAATAGAGTTCAAGCCCAGACTGGGCTACAAAAATAGTTCCAGCCCAGTCTGTGCTACATAAAGAGACCTTGACTGGAAAAAGGAAACAAAACACAAAGGGACCACACCAGGCAGCTCAATGCAAAGACTGGTGATACCTTTCAACTAATAAGGTAAAAATTTCAGAATGTTCTACTACCTTTTAAATGACAATACATGTCACTGTAAAAACAAAACAAAACACTATAAGGCTTAGCTGGGCTAGATGTGCGACTCAAGTGTGAGGGGAAAGGGAAAAAAAGACAAGTAAGCCAGGCACCAGTAGCTCACGCCAGTAATCCTAGCTACTAAGGAAACGGAGATCTGACAAATGCAGTTCAAAGCCAGCTGGGACAGACAAGTCTATGAGATTCTTATCTCCAATTAACAACCAGAAGTGGTGCTGTGGCTCAAAGTGGTAGCTAGCCATGACAGCCTTGAGCTAAAAAGCTCAGAGAGTGGCTAGGCCCTTAGTTCAAGCCCTCCCCCCCTCCCAACAACAACAACAACAAAGTGAGAGAGCAAGGCCTTGAGTTCAAGGTGAGTACTTTTAAAAAAAAAAAAAGCTTCCCCCAGCCCCCACTTCCCCCAGCCCCCGCCTCACTATTGAGGCTAGAACCCAGGACCTTGCACATGCCACCTGAGCACCCTACCACTAATCTCTGTCCCCATGACCGCCAAAAACAACAAAGAAAGTGAAGAAAAAAACAGGTTGTATGAAGTAATTTTTCTACAGAAAATCAAAAGTCTTCACTACCACAATACTTAGGGGAAACAGACAAAACTCATAAAGTTATTTTGCTTTTATGCCAGTCCTGGAATTTGAACTCTGGGCCTGGACATCGTCTCTGGGCTTTTTTTGCACAAGGCTAGCTAGCGCTATACCACTTGAGCCACAGCTCCACTTGCAGCTTTTTGCTGGTTAATTAGAGATAAGAGTCTTGTGGTTTCAAACCATAATCCTCAAACCTCTGCCTCTTGGGTAGAGGCATGAGCCACTGACGCCCAGCCAAAGATTTAATCATACTTAACAGGAAAGAAGTTCAGAATGAATATCGCCTTTGATTGAGGATGCAGGAGCTTTCATTAATGAGTAAAAGCAGAATAATTTGCTGACATTTGACCAGACACTCAAAGGAAAAATTCAAACTCACCAAAGTGATCATGTCAGTGGCTCATGCCTACAACGCATGATTTGAGGATCATGATTCAAAGCTAGCCTGGGCAGAAAAAGTCCATGAGACTCTTATCTCCAATTACATCAGAAAACAACTGGAACTGGCACTGTGGCTCAAAATGGTACAGTGCCAGCCTTGAGTGAAAGAGCTCAGGGACAGTGCCCAGGCCCTGAGTTCAAACTCCACAACTGCCCCCCGGCCCCCCCGACTCCAAAAAAAAAAAGTGATTGCTGTTGAAAAGACACTGCTAGGAATCATGCATCCCTGAACTAGGCTGGTCAAAGACTGGAGGTACAACAGCTAGACCAAGGATCTGTGCATGGGGCAGGGGTGCTAGTATGTATTTCTACTTTGAAATGTCACTATTCCTATTTTTTTTTTTATTTTTTTTTTGGGTCCGGTCATGGGGCCTGAACTCTGGGCCTGGGCGCTGTCCCTCAGCTCTTCAGCTCAAGGCTAGCGCTCTACCACTTGAGACACAGCGCCACTTCCGGCTTTTTTCTTTTTGCTTATGCGGTGCTGAGGAATCGAACCCAGGGCCTCATGCATGCAAGGCAAGCACTCTACCACTGAGCCACCTCCCCAGCCCTACTATTCCTATTTTGCAATTTGCTAACCTAGTAATTCCCATATTCTACAGTTGTTAAATCTAATACCAGGCTATCATTTTCACTTCCAATTGGTTAAAAAGTGGTGAGAGGGTACTTCATTTAACAGAATCAAACTTTTTTTGGGGGGGGTGTGAGACTTGAATTCAGGGCCTTGTGCACGGTCCCTGAGTTCTTTCTGTCAAGACTAGTACTCTATTACTATACATCACAGCACCTCTTACGGTTTTGCAGTCGTTAACTGGAGATAAGTCTTCTCCAGGAATTTCCTACCCAGACTAGCACTGAACCTCCATTTTCAGATCAGTCTCCTAAGTAGCAAGGAGCCACTCACATCTGGCTTAAAAATACTTTTAAATTAAGCTGGGCACCGGAGGCTCAAGCTTGTAATCCTAGCTATTCATGAGGCTGAGATATGAGGATTGTGGTTCAAAGCCAGCCCAGACAGGAAAGTCCATGAGACTCTTATCTCCAATAAACTACCAGAAAACCAGAAGTGACACTGTAAGCTCAGGGACAGTATTCAAGCCCCACAACCCACCAAAACAAACTAAAAAAATAAAATAAAATAAAAAAATTTTAAGTCATTGATGGTAGAAGAAAGTACCAAGTCATACAGGAGTACAAAAGCTAGTGGAGGGGTTGGGAAGGTGGCTCAGTGGTAGAGTGCTTGCCTCCCAAGCATGAGGCCCTGGGTCCGATTCCTCAGCACCACATCAACAGAAAAAGCTGGCAGTGGCGCTATGGCTCACATGGTAGAGCGCTCGCCTTGAACTGAAAAGCTCAGGGACAGCGCCTAAGGCCCATAGTTCAAGCCCCACGACCAACAACAAAAAAAGAACTAGTAGAAACTATATAGCACAATAGAACTATTTCAAAAAGTCAGCATGAAGCCGGGCGCGGGTGGCTCATGCCTGTAATCCTAGCTACTCAGGAGGCTGAGATCTGAGGATCGAAATTCAAAGCCAGCCCGGGCAGGAAAGACTCCTATCTCCAATAAACCACCAGAAAACGGGAAGTGGCGCTGTAGCTCAAGTGGTAGAGCACTTGCCTTGAGCTGGAAAGCTGAGGAACAGCACCCAGGCCCAGAGTTCAAGCCACATGACAGAAAAGAAAAGAAAAATACTATCTTGAAAGAGCTGAAGTATCAGGCAAGGTTTCCCACAGCTGTAAAATCCTAAGACACTTAGCAGCCAGTACCTATGATGTCTTAGAGAGTTAATGATGGTAAACTGAACTTGGTGAAGCACTGGGCTCTCCTGTGAGCATACTGGTGTTCAATCCCAGAGCTACAATCTATTGATACAACACAGGGTAAGCTAATCTCCTTGGCCTTCAGTTTCCTACAATGACCCCCAAAATTCCACCTAATAAGGCAGCCCAAGCGTAAGTAAGCACTCAATGGAATTACTCAACTTTTGAATGGACAAGCTCCATCATAGACCACCTTGTTTACTTGCTAGCCAGTAAACATTAGAACTCAAGGGTTAACAGTTGCTTAAGAATATTAATGGAGGGCTGGGAAGGTGGCTCAGTGGTAGAGCGCTTGCCTTGCATGCATGAGGCCCTGGGTTCGATTCCTCAGCACCACATAAGCAGAAAAAAAAAATCCGAAGTGGCGCTGTGTCTCAAGTGGTAGAGCGCTAGCCTTGAGCTGAAGAGCTGAGGGACAGCGCCCAGGCCCAGAGTTCAGGCCCACAACCGGACCCAAAAAAAAAAGGAATATTAATGGATGGGCGCAGGTGGCTCATGCCTGTAATCCTAGCTACTCAGGAGGCTGAGATCTGAGGACCGCAGTTCAAAGCCAGCCCAGGCAGGAAAGTCCATGAGACTCTTATCTCCAATAAACCACCAGAAAACTGGAAGTGGTGCTGTGGCTCAAGTGGTAGAGCACTCCCCTTGAGCTGAAGAGCTCAGGGACAGTGCCCAAGCCCAGAGTTCAACCCCTGTGACTAACAACAACAACAAAAAAAAAAACAAGAGTATTAATATGTTTAAACAACAGAAGTCTGAAGTTCAGAATCAAAAGTGCTGTAGTCGCTTGCTGGGCAATAGTGGCTCATGTGTGTAATCTACCAACTCAGGACACTGAAATCTGAGGATCAAGGTTCAAAGCCAGCCCTAACAAGAAAGTCCATGAGGCTCTTTATTTCCTATTACTCACCCCAAAAAAGCCAGAAATGAAGCTAAGCCTTGAGCAAAAAGACCTCAGACAGTGCCATGAGTTCAAGTCACAGGACTGGCACTTCCCCCACCAAAAAAAAATGCTATAGTCTGTTCTCTTTCTTTCCCTATTCTTGCCCATTTCTATTAATCGCTTTAGAGTTCCTAAAGAAAGCCTCTTCTAATCCTCTTCCCTTGTTGACAATGAAAGTTACATAACTGTGACTTCTGTTTTGAGAATACATGTCACTTCAAGAAAATGTGTTTAGCAGTGTGAAATGGTGCTTTTTATTAGACAGCTCAAAAACACTATTAATTGCAAATGAATATGGAACCAAAGGCATTTTTTTGTTCTCAAGAACTTTAAGAATTCAATTATTCTTTTTTTTTTTTTTTTGGGGGGGGGGGGGGGGGGGGTCCGGTCATGGGGCCTGAACTCTGGGCCTGAGCGCTGTCCCTCAGCTCTTCAGCTCAAGGCTAGCACTCTACCACTTGAGTCACAGCGCCACTTCCGGCTTTTTTTTTTCTTTTTGCTTATGTGGTGCTGAGGAATCGAACCCAGGGCCTCTGGCATGGAAGGCATGCGCTCTACCACTGAGCCACCTTCCCAGCCCAAGAATTCAATTATTCTTAAAAGTACTTTTTTTTTTTTTTTGGGTCTGGTTGTGGGGCCTGAACTCTGGGCCTGGGCGCTGTCCCTCAGCTCGTCAGCTGAAGGCGAGTGCTCTACCACTTGAGCCACAGCGCCACTTCCGGCTTTTTTCTTTTTGCCTATGTGGTGCTGAGGAATCGAACCCAGGGCCTCATGCATGCAAGGCAAGTGCTCTACCACTGAGCCACCTTCCCAGCCCTGATTTCAAGTTTTCCAAACTGTCAAAAAAAAAAAAAAGTCTGTAGGCTGAGATCTAAGGATTGAAGTTTGAAGCCAGTCCAGGCAGAAAAAACATCCCTGAAACTCTATTTCTAATACAGCAGCAAAATGCTGGAAGTAGAGATGTGGTTCAAGTGGCAGAGTACTAGCTTTACACTAACAAACTAAGAGAGAGTGCGTCCCAAGTGCAAGCCCTAGTACCAGCACTCCCCAAAAATTAAAGGGGCAGAAACATGAATCCCCCCAAACAATGTGTAACGAGTAAATGGAAAATTCCATATAAAAGGCCAAGAATATTAAATACATTAATGAAAACACTAAGAATGGGGACTTACGTGTATTCTCTACACTTTATTGTTACCCACCTCACAGAATTGTTACTGGGATCAGATGTGAGAGGACTCAATCACGCAAAAAAAAAAAAAAGCAGGATCCACTGAGCCAGAAACACGAACACCCACAACCCCAACAATGCTCACACACACACACTCACAACACCAACAGTGCTCACACACACTTACAACACTGAGTCTTCACACTCACAACACCGACAGTCCTCACACACACACTGACAGTCCTCACAAACACCTACTCCTCACACACACACACAACACCGACAGTTCACACACACACAACACCGACAGTCCTCACACACACAACACCGACAGTCCTCACACTCACAACACCGACAGTCCAAACACACAACACTGACTCCTCACACACACACGACAGTCCACATACACACACCGACAGTCCACACACACACTCACAACACCGACAGTCCACACACACAACACGGACAGTCCACACACACAACACCGACTCCTCACACACACACACACACACACACACCGACAGTCCTCACACACACACAACACCGGCAGTCCACACACACACACACACACACCGGCAGTCCACACACACATACACAACACCGACAGTCCTCACACACACACACCAACAGTCCTCACACACTCACAACACCGACAGTCCACACACACACACACACACACACACACAACACTGACAGTCCACACACACCGACAGTCCTTACACACACAACACCGACAGTCCTCACACACACACACAAAATCGACAGTCCTCACACTCACAACACTGACAGCCCTCACACACACACACCGACAGTCCACATACTCACACAACACCAACAGTTCTCACACTCACATGACAGTCCTCACACACACACACACAACACCGACAGTCCTCACACACACACACAACACCGACAGTCCACACACTCACACCGACAGTCCCCACACACTCACAACACGGACAGTCCACACACACACCAACTCCTCACACACACACACACCGACAGTCCTCACACACAACACCGACTCCTCACACACAAACACCGACAGTTCACACACACACACAACACCGACAGTCCTCACACACTCACAACACCGACTCCTCACACACACACATCGACAGTCCTCACACACACACAATACCGACAGTCCTCACACACAACACCGACAGTCCTCACACTCACACACAACACCGACAGTCCTCACACACTCACAACACCGACAGTCCTCACACACTCACAACACCGACAGTCCTCACACACACTCACAACACCGACAGTCCACACACACACCAACAGTCCACACACACAACACCGACAGTCCTCACACACACACAACACCGACAGTCCACATACACCGACAGTCCTCACACACACACCAACAATCCACACACACTCACAACACCGTCAGTCCTCACTCACACACCGACAGTCCTCACGCACACACACACACCGACAGTCCTCACACACACACACACCGACAGTCCTCACGCACACTCACACACCGACAGTCCTCACACACACACACACACACACACCGACAATGCTCATCACTGAACCTTCTGAGACCTACCTTTGCAAAAACCTTTGACCTTGAGGCTTCGCCCCCACTGAGAGCCCCCCGTCTGAGGGGAAGGAAATGGGGGGCGACTGGCGACAGACGACCCCGCTGCTGGGCGGCCGCCTCGCACTCAACTCAGGGTGGGCGCCTGAGGTCGTGGCTTCGCGGTTCCAATCCAGATCTACCTTAAAGCCCGCGGGGACGAGGCCGGGCGGGGACGAGGCCGGGCGGGGACGAGGCCGGGCGGGCCGGGGGGCGGCGGCCGGGGGGCGGCGGCCGGGGGCGGCCCGGGGGAGCCGCGCGGGCGCCGGGCCCGCCACCCCGCCACCCCGCCCCGCGCCCCCCGCGTGCGCCGAGCAGCTGTTTCCCCGCCCGCAGCTCCGCGCCCGGCGTCCCGGCGCCCGGGCCTCGCCGGGGTGACCTTGCGCCCCGCCCCGCGTGGACCTCCGTGTCTCCACGTGCACCCCAGCCCGGCTCACCGACAGCCCCCCAGGCCCAGGCCCCGTGCGTTCGCGCTCTCCTCCCCCGGGGCCGGGCAGCCGGCACCACCCGCTCCCGGAACCGGTCTCCCTGGCGGGGACACGCCGGGCGTTCCCGGGAGCGGCCGTTAGCCTCGCAGCCCGCGGGCGGCGCGGGCCCCGGCGCAGGGCGCGCCCCGAGCGGCCTTCCTGTCAGACCCGCCGCGCCGAGGCGCGCCGCGGCCCGGGCCGCGCCGCTGCCGACCGGGGGCTCCGCCGAGCCGGGCCGGAGACTACGCGAGGCCGCCGCTGCGGCCTAGCTGCCCGCGCGGCCCGCCCCCTCGGCTGCCCGCTCCGCGCGCACGCTCCCTCAGCACCCCTCCCGGGCCCTGGCCCCGGGCAGGGCAGGCCTCGGCGTGACGGGCTGCTGACCAGGCTGGCCCCAGGCACTCACCGTAAATGGGCCGGAGGCGCCTGTCGTTAGGGTCCTGCACATGGCCCCGCGTCGCCATGATGACAAGCGCAGAACCGCAGTGCGCACGCGCCGGTCGGGCCCCCGGGAAGGGGCTGTTAAAGGGCCAGCGTCGATCCGGCCGCGGTATCGCGATAGTCGAGGGGCTGGGGCCGAGACTATGCGTGCGTGCGCGCGCAGGAGCGGAAGTGCTCCCCAACCCGTCTCCCGTGCCCGGCGCCCCTCTAATCCGTCCCGCTCAGGGAGATCAGCTGACCAGTGGGAAACGCGGAAGAAGAGGAGAAAGACCTGGGCCGAAGTCAGGGCCGGGCCGGCCCCGCCTCTTTATCCCCTGGGACCTCTGTCCCGAAGAACCAGTTCGACCGGCCTCTCTCCAATGGCATTTGCTACGCAGTGCGGCGGGATCGAAGCCCGGGCTAGGCGAGCCGGCTTGCACGCCACCACCGGGCCACCTGCCCAGCCCCAACGCCCTTAAAACACGAAACGAAACCAAAAGCCGGGCTTGGATTAACTGTTGAGTTGTTGAGGAAAGGGAAATCCTCAGGAACCCTGACCCCAGGAAAGTACGGAAAAGAGGGCGGAGGGCCCCCTCGCCCGGGGCCCAGCCACCCTGGGGGTGCCTCACGTGGACACTAGGTTACGCTGGGGGCTCACCCCGGTCATCCTAGCTACACCGGACTCAGATCTGAGGACCAAGGTTCGAGGCCAACCTGAGCAGGGAAATCTGTGAGAGACTCTGATCTTTCCTAACCCGCTTATCTCCAGTGAACTACTAGGAAGCCCGAAGTGGAGCGCTGGCTAGTGCTTGCCTTGCACGCATGAGGTCCTGGGTTCGATTCCTCAGCACCACATAAGCAGAAAAAGCCGGAAGTGGCGCTCTGACTCAAGTGGTAGAGCGCTAGCCTTGAGTTAGAGCCCCAGCTTTGGAGGGATAAAAAGCCCAGGTTAGACTGGGAATGTGGCTTAGTGGTAGAGTGCTCGCCTAGCATGAATGAAGCCCTGGCTTCCATTCCTCAGTACCACATACACAGAAAAAGCCAAAAGTGGTGCTGTGGCTCAAGTGGTAGAGTGCTAGCCTTGAGCAAAAGAAGCTCAGGACAGTGCCCAAGGCCTGAGTTCAAGCCCCAGAACTGGCAAAAAAAAAAAAAAAGTTCATCTCACAGGCCCTGAATTCAAGACCCAGGGTGACACAGTAAATAAATAAATAAAACTTTGCTTAAGCTGGGCATCGGTGGCTCACGCCTGTAAGCCTAGCTACCCAGGAAGCTGAGATCTGAGGATCATGGCAGGCCCGGGCAAGCAAGAAAGAAAATGCAAGCAGAAACAGCTGGAAGTGGTGCTGTGGCTCAAGTGGTAGAGTGCTAGCCTTGAGCTGAAGAGCTGAGGGACAGCGCCCAGGCCCAGAGTTCAGGCCCCATGACAGGAAAAAAGAAAAACAAAACCAAACAACCCTTTTGCTCACTCTGGCTGAGGTTATTGGGAAACATTTAAATATTCCCCAAGATAAAGGTTATCAGACAAAACACAGTGTAACATTGGGAACATACTCATACATTATTATTTATCTGAAATTCAAATTCAGTTCGATGTCCTGTATTTTTGTTTGCTAAATCTGGTCATTCTATCTCAGGGAGAATGTCACGGTCACCATACTAACCAACAAGGAAGGAAGGGTGGGAGCCTCAAGTAAGTTGACCCCTGGATCTCTCTGAGAGGAAGTGACCAGGTATGACCTGGCTGAGCTGGGAGTGGAGGGAGGAGACCTGGGGTTCACCTTTGGTGCAAGTGAGAGATGGAGGGGGCAGGGAATGTGGCTCAGTGGTAGCGTGCCTGCCTAGCGTGCATGAAGACCTGGGTTCAATTCCTCAGTATCACAAACACAGAAAAAGCTGGAAGTGGCACTGTGGCTCAAGTGGTAGCATCCTAGCCTTGAGCAAAAGAAGCTCAGGGACAGCGCCCAGGCCCTGAGCTCAAGCCCTAGGACTAGTAAAAGAGAGGGGGTGGGGAAGGGGAGGGAGGGAGAGAGAGAGATGGGGGAGTCACCTGGAATTTTCAAAATTTTCCCAGAATGGAAAAACACAGCACCCTGCGGAGGGGGTCACGGGAGGCGCCTGGCAAGGGCTGCTGCTGTCGCGTTACTCAGCTCTGTTTTTAGGTTACCTTTGTTGGCACAGCACCAGAGAAATGCTGGCAGGCTGGGCATAGGCTCCCTTCACTTGGCCAGGCCAGAACATGGTGTGGACCTGCTGACAGAAACTTCTGGAACCTGAGGTTAGCACCCTTAGTGGAATATATTTCCTTGTATGCTGGAAGCCAGTTTAACCTCCAGGTAGGAGGAATTGGTCCTTCTCTTCTCCCATTTCTCTCCCTTGTTCTCAGAGCCTAGGAATGAAGCAAGGTTGCAGCTCAGAGCCTGTCCTCTGCTCCCTGGATGGCAGCCTCCACGCCTTGGAAAGGGCTGAGTCATTTCAAGTCATTCCAGTCAAAAGAACCAAGGAGCTTGAAACTCTGAGAGAAAGTATTATGGGGTGGTGCTTGCTCAACATGCATCAGGTATTCCCATTTTCTCAACTTAATCCTGGCAAGTATGCACTTCATTCAGAGGCAGATATGCTCTGGGGAGAAGCTTTCTCCCTGTGCTTCAACTGCTGGGGACATGGTGGTGGTTCTAGATCTCTCCACCAATAACTCTTCTGGTTTTCTCTGCAGCCTTTATTTTTGTGCCAGTACTAGGACTAGATCTCAGAGTCTTATGCCCTTGGGTAGTATTTTTTCACTCAAGGCTTGTATTCTATTACTTGAGCCACTGTCCCTTCTTTGTTTGTTTGTTTGTTTGTTTTTACATCTCCACTTTTATTTTGGCTTTTTGGCGGTTAATGGGAGATACGCTGCTTAGTGGTAGAGTGCTCGCCTAGCATGCAGGAAGCCCTGGGTTCCATTCCTCAGAACCATATAAAGAGAAAAAGCCAGAAGTGGTGCCATGGTTTAAGTGGTAGAGTACTAGCCTTGAGCAAAGGAAGCTCAGGAACAGTGCCCAGGTCCTGAATTCAAGGCCCAGGACTGAGAAGAAACAAAGAAAAAGAAAGAAAGAAAGAAAGAGGAAGGAAGGGCAGGGCAAGGAAGGGAATTACAGATTCTTGTCGGGGCTGGTTTTGAATCATGATCCTCAGATCTCAGCCTCCTGAGTAGCTAGGATTATTGATGTGAGCCACCAGCGCCTGGCTAGTTTCCTGCACTTTTGACAGAATTAACAACAGTGCTGACTCTGAAATCGAATCGATTCCACTTCAAACCCAGGCTCTAACATCTATTGACTGTGGCCTCCTAAGCAAGTGACTAGAAAGCCCTGAACTTCATCTGCAAAATATAACAAAGGACCCTACCTCATACAGCCAAAGAATAGACTCTGGTCCTGGTCCATATAAAGAAACAGACACACACAGACAGACATGATAGTGCAGCCCTGTAATTCCAGTACTCAGGCTGTGGCAGGAGGATTATGGGTTTGAGGAAAGACTGAGTTACATAATGACATGCTGTCTCATGAAGAAGGAAGAAGGAAACAGGAGGAGGAGGAAGAAGAGAGAAAAGATTTTATCTTTTCTTTTCTTTTTTTTTTTTTTTGTACTGGGGATCGAACCCAGGACAATGCGCTTGCTAGGCAAGCGCTTTGCCACTGAGCTACATCCCAGCCCAAGAAAAGATTTTTAAAAAGCACAAAGGAAGAAAGCATTAGCTGGGTATTGGTGACTCATCTCTATAATCCTAGATCTCAGGAGATTGAGATCTGAGGATCACAGTTCAGAGCCAGCCCAGGTAGACAAATCTAAGAGCCCTATCTCCAATTAACCAGAAAAAGCCATAACTGTTGGCATGACTCAAGTGGTAGAACACCAGCAGTGAGCAAAAAAGCTGAGCAAGAGCTTGAGACTCTGAGTTCAAGGCCCAGGACTGAAAAAAAAAAAAAAAGTACAGGCAGATCAAAGCAGAGAGCTACAGAACTGAAAACTATAAGTTGAGATAAATTTTAGATATGGTCTTGATTTTACCAGTAGTTGAAGGAGTGAATTTTTCCCAGCAGAAAAAAAGAGGATGGGGCCAGGTGCTGGCGGTTCATTGCTGTAATCCTAGCTATCTGACGCTGAGATCTGAGGAGTGAGCTTCTAAGCCAGCCAGAGCTGCAAAGTGTATGAAACTCTTATCTCCAATTAACTGCAGCACAAGAGCAAATGGGGGGGGGGGGGGGGGGGGGGAGAGCACTTTCAGGCTCAATCCTTTTTGCTGTAGCTTCGCACTTCCAATTCTATCCACCAGATGGCACACAAGTTCCAAGTTGATCATACCATTTTCCACATGAAAGGAATGTCTCATTTTGTTTTTCCTGTTTAAGAAAACAGAATATTAATGTCATATGTTATACATTACCAATCATTATTATCATATATAACATCTATATATCTTTGATACTCTAATTTCAAATATAATGTTGTTATATTTTAATAATTTTACTCATCTTTATCCAGGTATAATTTATATCATAACATTCACCTGTTTTTGTTTGGAATTTATTTTTTAGTACCCGTCCTGGGGTTTGAACTCAGGGTCTGGGCACGGTCCCTGAGTCTTTTCATTCAAGGCTAGAGCTCTACCATTTGAACCACAGCTCTACTTCCAACTTTTTGGTGGTTAATCGGAGATAAGAATCTCACAGATTATCCTTCCTGGGCTGGCTTCAAATCACAATCCTTAGACCTCAGCCCCCTGAGTAGCTGGGGTTACAAGTGTGATCCACCAGCGCTCAGCACTGTTTCCATTCTTAACACGTGAATCTTTGTCTTGTTTTGTTTTTTTGTTTGTTTTTTGTTTTTCTGGGTCTGGTCGTGGGGCCTGAACTCTGGGCCTGGGGGCTGTCCCTCAGCTCTTCAGCTCAAGGCTAGCGGTCTACCACTTGAGCCATAGTGCCACTTCCGGCTTTTTTTCTTTTTGCTTATGCGGTGCTGAGGAATCGAACCCAGGGCCTCAGGCATGCAAGGCAAGTGCTCTACCACTGAGCCACCTTC